GTCCACGCAGAGATAGGTCTACGGAACTTAATTTTCGAGCCAAGTTCCGAAACTTTTGCTAGTGTTGACAGGGCTTTCACAAAAAATGTGTCAAACGCGAGCAAACGCGTCTTATGTACTCCTCCTCCTCCGGCACGTTCACCTGAGGCGGCAAAATACAGGCGGCCCATAGGCGGCAAGAAGGTAAATCCGGCCCTGTTTGCGGGGGAAAAGTTAGCTGGATCGCAAATCGTGGATAAACATCATCACAGCATGTCCAATGATGTAAAGAACAAAATAAGGTTTCTCTTTTCAGTGAAAAGGGAACACGGAGAAAACCACAGTTAGCAAAGTTGTGAGTTCAGAAGGCGCTTTGCCTTTGCGGCTTTAAGGATAATGAACCCTCGGTCGTGCGAACCGACCCTCTCGGTTAAGAGAACCAAACCGCGGTTCCGCCGAAGGTTCAGTTCAGGGAACGGACTAACTTCGGTCGATATGGAACATGTATGCGTATGCTCCCCACGTACCAAACTTTTTCGGTTCCTAGAATTAAGCCCCCGTCTCGGTGCATCAAATTAATGATCGGCCCTGCCAACCGAATTTCTTCATCCCCTCGATGGACACAGTTTTAACCTTGAGATATTTTTATAGGGAGCTTTGACTGTTTGATGAAAATCAAAGAGGTCATCGTGTCTTTTGTTTGTATGTAAGAGTAATTTATTAAATATCAGATCCCTCTTTTGATTGGTAGTTTTTTATTTCACAGCTTTTATAAAACGGTTTGGTTGCTCTCTGCTCACATACCAGACCACGTTTCTTGGTTTGCAACGTTGCAGACTTCCTGCCATTCTTTTTTATGTAGATGGAAAACTACCTAACGGGAATGGAGAATTTGCACGCAAATTTTTTATTGCTTCATCTGAGAGTGCTTACAGAGCTGATTCTGCAGTATTTTTTCCAATTTTGCTCTGGTATGGGGAATAGTATCAAAATAGATTTAAAAGTGAGAAAATGCACCGCCTAGTGACGCCATCAGGCGGCATTTCCGATTTAAACACATGTATTTTAGTACATTAACTAATTTTGTCATATCTGCTCCTATAATCGCTCAATTTATGAACCATGAGTTTTCTCGCGTTCAGTTCACTCAGTAGTTTCCACTAAAACGCGAAATTCATTAAATTTTAGACACTTGCAAATTTTCCATTCTTGAAAACTTCTGTGCTTTTTTTTTCTTTGTGCGAAGAAAACTCTGTGAAAATTTCAGGAAATGATATTGATTTTTTCTCATCGAATAAAATAAAATGGGAGTGGAGATTTTTAAACACTGCAAACAAGATACGTGTTCTGATCGTTTCACCGTCGATAGAGTTGAAGTGATTGTAATGCAAAAAAATCCAGTCTTCATTGATCGATTGCAAAGTTTCTGCAAACTGGAAAGTATTTGTCACTTATTACTTTATCATGAGTAACGGTAGCCATCCTTCAGACAAAGTCTGCAGACACAATGAAAGCTATATATCCCTGAAATATTCCATTACCTCTCTCTATTTCAATCCTCATGAAATGCCGCGGGAAACGCGATGACGTCATAGGTTTTGTTTTACTCTCTCCCAAACTTACAAAAAGCTCTCCACGTTGGAACCGTTTTGGCCTACTTTTACATTATAAAAGAGTCCACGTCTGTAATTATTCATGTCCTCAAAGCAGGAATGGAGCTACATTTACGAGCACAGTTGTCTTGCTTGTGGACTAAAATTCCGCTTTTTGCGCTTAAAAGCACGGGGTGGAAATCATAAATATGTATTCGACCGTGCTCTTGTACGAGGAATGTGCCTAATTACTGTGGGCGGCTCCCCGGAAAATTGTTAAAAGGTGGTCCTTTACGTCTTTACCATTCAACGCTCATTGTGAAAATAAGGGTGGTTTTTGAACAAACCCAGCAGTATGCCAAGTTTTTAGCGCAATTTCTCTGACTTTTGTTCGGCACAGTTGTAAACCCTGGGACCACCGAGAAAATCGATTACTGAAGTATTCCAAGTCCGTACCGAGCCATGGCAGCATTGTAAATGAAGGGCTCCGAAATTTTCTCAGGTGAGCCAGCATCCCGACCGACGTTTTTGTCCAAGCACAAAGACAATGTGTTTCGCCACGAAATCACTTAATTCGATATGCAATAAATGCTTATTTTCTATTTTCCTTTAATAATTGATGGAGATCATCGTTTGTGCAAAATGTTGTGCGAATTTCCTTCTCCCTTTTGAGAGGGCTCTTTGAAAATTTTGTGTAAAACTTTTTGTAAAACAACCTAATTTTATCCTGTAGAGTGCCAGAGAATGCCATATCGACGGTGAAACTACCAAACCACGTATCTCGTTTGCGGTGTTTAAAAATCTACGCTCACATTTTATTTTTTTAAAGTAGACCAAATCAATATCATTCCTTGAAATTTTCACAGAATTTTCTCCGCACGAAGAGGAAAAATCGCAGAAATTTTCAAGACTGGACGTTAAGTAGTTTTTCATTTAAAAAATAAAGTATGACAGGAAGTCTGCGACGTCGCAAACCGAGATACGTGGTTTGGTAGTTTCACCGTCGATATATTCTTTAAAAACTTTACATGTAATGTTTACACCTCATTTGGCAGAGATCGCTTCCCTGGAACATTTCCCTAGATGCACATCGACCCTTCATCTGGTGGACGGTCACCACGGTCACGTGGGTTTTCCTCAAAATACTACGTAGCATACTACGCTAGCAGAAAGTTTGAGAAAAAATAGTACAGTGGAGTATCAACTATAAACATCCTTAAAAACCCCAGCAATCGATTTTATCACATATTTTTTGGATGCTTAGTGTTCGTCACGAAATTGAATTTTGATGCGCAACTCACACACAAAATGAAATCTGCCAAAAAGTCAGGTTCTCACGCAAAGTCCCCAAGTAGCATTTTTTAACAAAAATACGGAAATTAAGTTGTGATTTTTTAAAATTAATTTTGATTTTTTCAAAATGAAATTATGTAATATGTTGACATCATTTCGCCAATGAATGCCGATATTATGCGATCAGACCATCGGACGTAGAACAGTTAGTTTGTAAAGCGAATGAAAGTTGCAAATGTACTTCAATTTCACTGGCATTGTCAACACGAGAAACCCCTTCAATCAACAGATAGGCAACATACACAACATTCCGATGCAGTAGCAATGATTCCGCACTGTAATTCGTCGCCTACCTGACATAAGGGCGTAATTACACTCTGCAATGAACCCTGTCTTCCGAACATTTCAATGCTTTTCTGGGCTCATTTCAATATGTAGTTACGTTCGTATGTCAGCCAAGCGACGAATTGTTATGGATTTCCATCTGTTTTACTGTCTCTCATTCTCTCTCATCTATATTGTTCACCCAATATTTGAGTTCGTCGCGGCTAAAAGTTGCTGAAAACCGTCGCTACTAAGTCACGGATCGGGTAGTGAACTTTGAAATACTATCCCCTCCGAGCTTTCTCTAAATGACAAATTGTGTGCGTTTTAATTTATTTTTGTGCTGATAAAGGGTAAAATAGGGCATTTTAATTCAATGATTTTGAGACTTGCACATAGCTGATTGGAACTTCAAGACTTCATCTTAAAACTACATTCCTGAGATGGAAATTTCATTCTGTTATATCTTCCGCGGAAAACCAATTGGTTTTGCCCGTAATTGGCTCTCTTTGAATTTGGATCGGGCCCTTTTTTGGAGGGTACATGAGGGCCCGATTAGGGTTCATAATAAATCCGATTGAAACGGATCTCAGCTCATTTGACCAAGGTTTGATTTCGTCGGACATATCGTCGGCTTTCGGCCAAAGTATCACAAGCGCCATGCAACGTTTCAACATTTCCGCCACCATTTTATTTTTTTACAGAGAAATTGTTAGTCGAATCTGTTTGAAAATTTCACTGAATATTATTGTCAGCACAAACGAAATTCAGTGAAATTTTCGGACAGCTTCGTTGAAAGATTTCTCTGTAAAGAAAAAAATGGCGTCGGAAACTTTTAAACGTCGCATGGCGCTTGTGATACTTCGGCCAGAAGGTGACGATATACAGGCGCTTTTATGACATCAGAAATTTCGTAGAAAATCTATTTACGCAAGGGTACATTGGGGAAAAACACATTGAATCTAGAGTCCAAACTCTTGAAAACATTGACAAGAAAAATGACTCTTGATTCAATCAGATTTAAGCTGAAATCAAAAGGAAATCCGCTCAAATTAAGAGGCTTGGTTCTTGATTTACGCTTAAATCTGATTGAACCAAGAGTACTTTTTCTTGTCGATGTTTTTAAGAGTCTGGACTCTAGATCCAATGTGTTATTTTTTCCAGTGGTGGAAAAAAAAGTTACGGGGTACATAGAGATAACGTCCGTTCCGGGCTCAGAGGCCGAAAGTTCCAGGTGCTGGAGCCGTAGCATTCGATTGCTCCGGGTGCTACGCCTAAGACTTCCGGCCTCTGAGCCCGGAACGCAGACGATATGTCTATGTAGCCCGTAGGTACGGCTTCCACGGCCGGAGTGTTTTTTTTCAGTGCATCCAAAAATTTCCAGAAAAACTATCCATGACTCCGCAAAAAACAGAAAAAAATGAAAAATAATTAAGTAAAGATTATGTATTTTATTTGAGGAAAATGTGGCAACATTTGAACAGCCATACAACGTTCTTCCTTAGTACTGCTCTAACGTGCTAATGAGCAACGCCGTATGAGCCTCTAGACGTTGCAAGACTTCTTTAATAGTGTATATTTAGGTACTCTATTTTGAGTTTTTGCTGTGTAAAGGCTATATTCCTGTGATCGATCACATATCGTCGCTCCTCTGACGTAAGAGCGTATCTCTATTGTCGCACATGAGCCCTGGGAAGCGTAAAGTTACACAGAAAAGCTGGCTCACGTAGAAATTGAAATACGCCCTTACAACAGAGGAGCGACGATATTATAAATAGTATATCAAATATTTGACTCATATTTCAATCTTACCTGCGTCAGAGTCCCAACGGAGTGATACGGCGGCGGCGGAGGCGGCGGCAGATTCAGAATCCCGTTGGGGTCACCGTGGTTGTTGGACAGGTCATCGAACTGCGTCATTTTCCGCGAGGACCTCTTCATGATCCCCTCGGGCTCCGACCCGACGACGCACTTACTCGTGTACGACCCCATCTTCTCCAAATCCGTCTCGTCCAACGCGAACTTGACCCGCTGCTGGGACTTGCCGAAGGAGGACCTGTTGGAGCGACTGAGATCGACGAGGGCCGGCGGCGGGTGGGGGGCGGTAGACGGGGGCGGGGGCACGCCTCCGTGACGGCTCAAGGACGAAGGGAGCTCCTCCACCGAGTAGGTGCGCTTCCCGACCGGGACGCACAGCGAGGCGAGGTGATGGCCGCAGTTGCACGTGGACCGCGGCCTCGGGCCGTTTTCCGACTTGGAGCCGTGGCTGGAGGATCGTCGGTGGTGCTCGGGCGGAGGCGGAGGAGGCGGCGTGTCCAGGGAGTAGTACCCGGAGGGCACTACCGTCGACTTGGGGAAGTACTTGCAGTCGGGGTGCCCGGTCCCGTTCCGCAGGGAGATCTTGGAGAGGGTGTGGAACCCCCGGTTGTCGGAGCCGAAGTGTCCGGCGTGTTTGTCCGGGTAGCACCGCGAGAGAGTCCGGCTGTCGACGCTGGAGCAGCGCTTGGACAGGCGTTTCCGGCGGTTGTCGAAGACGTCCGAGCCGTAGGACGACTCCACGTCCGTCGACGCGGAGGACGGAACGTGCGACGACCACCCGCTGGAGATCCGCCCGAACTTCGAGTCGGAGAGGTTGCCGAGGGATTGGCGGCGGAACTCGAAGTTAGCCTTGGCGAAGGCTGTGTTGCTCGAGGGGATGATGCGGGGACATGGTTTGGCGACGACCCCGAGAGCTTCCGCCGCGCTGATCTTCTTGTCCCTGGCGGTTTTGTCGTTGACGAAGAACGCGGGGGACGAGGACCTGGATGCTGTGCGTGATCCGGGCCTGCTGCAAGGGAGGCTCTCGCAACCGACTAGGCGCTGGTTCTGCCGCTGGTTGGGTGGGAGCGACAGCTGGTTCGAGCTTTGGGATTGCGTCACTCCGTAGGGTTTGTCATTGAAGTCCGGTTGGTCGTCGTCCTCCTTTTTGTGCTTGGATTTCTTCTTCTCCACGTCCAACTTCTCCTCGATGGTCTTGGTCTCGACGGACTCGATGGCCAACGCCAAGTCCTTCACCGATTTCCGCACCGGCGACTCGATTGTCCGGACCCAGATATCCGCGGTGGCGCTCTTATCCGCGTCATCATCGCTGTCTATTTCTTCGTCCTGCGAGTCTTTTTCTGTCAGTCTTGTAGCTTTCTCTCCGTTTTTCACAACCTTATCGACTTTGTTCAAGATTCTGTTCACCTCGGAAAAATCGTTCTTCAAATCCCTGTCGGTTTTGATGATGGCCTCGTTACTCTTCTCGAAGCTATTCGTCCTGTGTAGGTTTAAGTTATTCCTTGTTGCGTTTTGGCTTATCGAATTATTATCACTTCTCAACTGAGCTTCGTTTTTGTTATTCAAAGGCAAAGTGTCATAATTCGATGTTTTCGGAATGAAATTATTGGTAATAACGTTAGTGTTATTATTTGTTATATTCTTATTAATTGAGCAAGACTGTTTGATTTGTTGAGCATTTTGTCGGATAATAGAATCCAACGTCCCGTAATCCTTTTTAACCTCACTCAAAGGTTCCTTCCTTTTGAGGTCCGAGTCTTTGGTTATCACATCTTTCTTACCGTCCACAGGTGATTTCTTATCACTTTCCTCATTCACAACCACTCGATCTTTGGCAACGACATCGAAAACCGTCCTCTGTAGGGCTTTTGGGGGTGTTTTATCATTCAGGATTTTATACTCAACTTTCTCGGCTTCATTTTCATCCACGCCGCCTGAAAGTTGATTTTCGAAAACGACATTTTTGCTTTTCTCTTTTTTGTCGCTTTCGTGCCCATCGTTGATATTATTCGATATAATTTCCTTTTCAGTTACCTCGCAAAAGTCTAAAATGGTTTTCGCAACCGGGGGATCGACATGTTTCAAAGTCTTGATCTTGCTATTGATCGACGACTCCAGGAGAGATGGCCCATTTTGATCTTTCGAATTTGAATCGGCGCTGGACTTCTCGGGCTCTGAGGTTTCTGACTTGGTTTGATTCGGAGCGGGAGTTACAGTGGACAGTCGAGTACACTCACTCCGTTTTGGGGGGACCGGGGGTCTCGGTTTAGGGGCGATGGGCTGAACTTGCGGTGTAAATGTTTTTAAGCTGGGAGGAAAGTTTGCTGACCCCTGTTCTTTGGATTTATTTTCGACGGTTTGACGTGCGGGTACCTGGGGCGGCTTGACATCATTGGCAGGGTTTATTGGATTTGGCAAATACGTGAAAGGCCTGCCAAATGAGCTGGACACAGAGCGACAATTATTGGGCTTTGCCTGCTGGTCAGTGTTGTTGTCACCTGCTACATGCTGCCCCGGGGAGTTCACCGAGCCTCCGTAACCACTCACCCCTAACCTAACACAATCACCGCCCGTCGAATCATTTTGCATGACTCAAATCAATAACTTTAGATTTCACTTACGTCTGGCACAGATTCCGAGCATTTCCAGTTATCCAATCGCAGTCCACACTAAGACAATTGATACCTTTTTAAGACACTGTAACCTCTAACACTCCAAAAAGTTCGTAATGTTGGCACTAAAAAGAGGCAAAAAAACAAAAATCAAAAAGAATTCGCCCGTCAGAACTTTTTTCGACACAAAATAATACTCTTACATCGTACGTGAGATAGTGAGAGTAAAGAGATCCAGAAATACTTCGCGCAACGAACAGGACAGAGAGGTTATCCGAGTATCAAAACAGGGTTACACCGAGGATTTATCACTGCCAAAATTCAAACGTAGCACATACGGTGGGTGTAAAAACACTGTGTAAAGAGGGGTAGAGTCACCTCGGGGTAACATCAAGTGGAATCTCGTCGAGAGAGATCGAAGCAGTGATAAAAAAACGCACCACCGAATAAAGGTCAAAGCAACGTGTCCACAAGGACTCCAAAACCAGACGAGATTCGACTCGGCGCGTACCAGGAGCGATACGAGAAAATCACGACCGTTTCAACGTCCTCGCAAAATGCCAGATACACACTTGAACTTTCAAAAGTCTACCCGAAAACAGAGCGGAGATCGAACGAAGAGAGAAGGTTAAAAGAATCGTATAAAAATGTATGGCGAGGCGACGTTGGGAGAAAAAACATGCTGCCGGGATGCTCTACGCGTTAGCCGATCGAAGATTTCGTGAGTGGCGCTGCTCTCAGTGCGTCGGTCCAAACAACCCCCTTTGCATTGCAACCCCCTCCCTCGCGAGCTTTCCCGCCCGCTCATGCTCTGTCGCGGACGAAGAGGGGTGGCCCTCCCCTTTCCCGTCCACAACTTAACCCTGCAGCTCACACCCCAGTCGCGAGAGCGCCTCACTCACACAGCCGCGGCCCACCGCTCACACACCCTCTACACTTTTGCGTGGAACATAAATAAATAATTACGTCTTGCACTAACAATGTGTCTCTGCCGTGGTTTATTTAGCGAAGCTTTCTTTTTGGTCATTAATTTTTGCCCACGTTTTTGCCAACATTCGTCGTTTCGACGGTTTGTTATCCTAAACTATGCCGTGCTTGGAGTTCTCGTTGGCTTCCTCATTTCACTAATTTTCGCCTTCAATCCGCCGGAACGCCACCCTTTTAACCTCTTCGCCTCGCCAGGCTCCATGACCTCAGTTTCGTTTTCGTTCCACCTTGACTAGTTGCTGAGTGCGAGGGGTTACTCACATTGACTGCAGAATATGTGTTCAATATGTATTGCACCCTCTCCGTTTTGCTTTACTCAATAAAAAGTTCCCCAGCCGTTCCACTAACGACCAGTATCATTTTTATTTTTATTTTAATTAAAAAAGAAATGTTCATTCAATATTATTTCACCAGTATTTTATTATCATTATTTTATCAATCATATCTTTCTAGTTTTTTTTTGTTCACCTATCAGTCTCTCGCCTAATTTTACTCCTTCTTTATGATATTCAACTACGTTTCGATATCATTAAAAAATCACTCATTTTTCATTTCCTACCTTTCTCGTTGCTTCCATGCGGTTTATTTATCCATTTAATTTTTGCTCAGTGCTTTATTTATTCCCTTAAGTAAAATCGAACACAAGAAGTTTCAAAAGCCGTTTCTGAACCCAGAGATGAATTCAAATAAAAATTTTGAAGTATTAATTTTAGCAAAATTATTGGCTTTTACATTTCTAGATTATGTAACTTTGTAAGCTAAGTTAATATTGGTTTCATTACCGCACGTAGGCTCCAGAACTTTTTTCCAAAACTTTTAAAGTAAAATCTTGAGCATTTGACGCCGAATTTGAAGAATTATACGGCATTTTTTGAACTGAGAAACTTTTAAAAGTTTCTAAATTCAAAACTTCCCATAAAAAATACTTCATAGGCGTGTCAACAAAAATCTGGCCATTAAACAGCCCTGCAATAAAAAAAATGAATTTAAGATGGTTTTAGGTCGAGATAATTTCAGGATTATGAATGCCCTGGTCCAAGACCTAAAAAATTCGATTTTTAATATGAGCCGAAGTTTAGTATCTGTTACCGAACTTTCTTACTTGATATATTAGTGGAGAGCGAAATATACCCTTTTTACGGAATGAATTCTATACTTACAAAGTAGATTTTACTCCGTATTCATAGCATTTGAGTTTTTCGGGGGCAAAGTAGGCTAGCGGGCTGATTAATGAAATTAATAGACAAAGCGATAGGCAAAGAAAACACGTGGAGAATGGAGCGATACTGATGGTGAAGGCGGGTGCAATGGACAAAGCAGGCAAATAATGGGTTAACTAACGACAACTCACTTGAGACCCTTTAGTTTCTACATCATGTTCCTTTTAGTCTTTAAGGGCCACCTCTTTCAACCCACAGGATCGCTCCATTTTCCCTTCGTGTTCTTCAGTGGCTTGGCATGCTTTGCGATTTTTCGATTGATCAGCCATTCAAACCTATGGAAAAAGATCGATATACAGGGTGTTCGCAGCGAACACCTTAATAATCGATTCTTCACCATGCCTTCAAATGGGGAAATACCGATTTTCGATCATTCACGCCACGCCACTGGTGTTCCTTGTATCTCGTTTTGTCTATCATTCCGCGGGCAGATGAAATGCACTCCGGATTCCAGTCCAAGATGTCTAACAAAGCACCTCGAGAATTTAAGTGAAATTCCAAAAAAATCTTAAATTTTTTGCTACAGCCTCTTTTATTTCAAACGACAAAAATAGAATACAAAATGCTAAGCCGCTATGTCGCAGGTTCCCGCCAAAGAAGGAAGTTTACCAAGATTGCCAGATTACGTAGTGAAATTTGCATACTCCTCAACGAGTTGTGAGCTATTGCTTTCCGGCACAATTTGGCAACCATGAATTTAATTCTCGTCGCCGACAGGTTAAATGACCTAAAATGGCCTTGCCCTCCACTCAAGTGATGGAGCCGCCAAATTTTAAAATTTCATTCATCTTTGTGGTGGCGCGACGAAATCCTCTTCGAATGATTAACCAAGCCGGGAGCGTTCCTCGGTCATCGGAATATAGTCCAGTGGCGGGGCGTGAATGATCCATTATCGATATTTCCTCATATGAAGCTATGGTAAAGAATCGATTATTGAGGTGTTCTTTGCGAACACCCTGTTTATCGATCCTTTTCCATAGGTTTAAATGGCAGATCAATCGATACATCGCAAAGCACGCCGCGCCACTGATGGTCCATTGCCAAATGTCGTCGTAGGAGCAATAATATGGGTTGGACCTGAATGGATTATCAGGGTGTCCCTATGTGCTATACTATGTCAAATTAAGAGAGTGTAATCTATAGGGGCAAAAAAAGCGTTTGCCTTTCTAAATTCTAATTCTAATTCTTAGAAATTCTAAATCCCTATAGAAAATGAAAGTATGCCCAAAAAATATTTAATCAATTCCATACGTTAATGTCCGTTCGATCAGTTCAGGAGAATCCTTAAAATTCGATTTTTCCGCCATGAGCCAGATTAAAACCCACAGATTTCCGAAGAAATTAGGCAAATCACCGAAGAGTCCGCCGAGTATATTCGCCAAGTTTGGCAGCCATGAGCGAGCCGTCTGGAATTCATTCATGAACTTCCTTATCGGCGGACGTCGCTACTATCATCAAAGTTCTTAACTCGATTTGGACCAGATCGATATTTTCAAGGATCTCTCGTGGGTAATTGTCCATTTTCGATTTTCGCTCCGCTCCTCGATAGTTGTCCGTAGCTCTTTACGGTCACTATCGATAGCTCCCGCGGTACCATCCGTAACGGGAGGCTGTGTCAATAAAACGTTAAGATAACCTGCCCACAGTGCTGCAGTGGAGTCCAAGGTATGACCTGGGCAAACAAACTCTGGTGTTATCTGTGAGATAGTCAGTTGAATCCCGTCGAACTTGCACGAGACTTCTTCATCAATGGTTCACTTATAAATTTTTTTGGTAAGTTGCTCTATTTTTCTTGAAATTTCATTCAAATTCAGACGTGACTCGTCCAAAAACTGACTCTGACTTTGTGTTCACTTTTATTTGCTTCCATTAGTTACCACTAAGCATCATTTTTGAATTTTCTCATTGTAGATTCACTTTTAATACATACATTCATCTGAAAAGTTGAAGTTGATTTGATTAAAAAATGGATGTTTATTTTTAATAGTTCGGTTGATGCGGAATTACATACATGCATCACATGATTCGCGAGTTCTCGCACGTACCTATACGTAATTCCGTATTGTACAAACTAGGATTTTCCGTCAAAATTAGGTCAAACTCCTCCACATCGAAAGCTGCGTTATATTAAGCGGTCTCGTGCAAATATTTAATGTACTAGGCGATTCGGAAGTCCCGCACCTAGTATCGCCCCTGTGACTTTTGAAAAAATTGGGTTACAGACATGAAATTTTTGTGAGTGTTTTTAAGATAAACGAATCGACTCATGAGACTCCCCAAAATCTCAAGGGAAACACCCTTAAAAAAGGTAAGAACCCCAAGGGGTATGGGGGCCGTGCGGAACTTTTCGATCACCCTGTGTAATCATTTACAAACTCAACTAAATCAAACTGAAAATATCTTACTTATTGTTGACTATATGGCTCCTGGTAAAATGCATGCCCCGGCTATTCGGACGTTTTTTTTTTTTTTTTTTTTTTACAATCGCCCGAGTGGGCGCACTGACAATGAGATGTGAGCAGACCTTAGAAATGCCGAAAAATTGAATATTTCCAACGGTTAAAAGTCACAAGTCATAGGGGGAATTAAGGGGAGGGCGGCTTGAATTCAATAATTTGAGCTTTAAAATTGGTGGGAGATTTTGTTGAAAGCCAATGAGAAAAATGTGCAAAGCAGCACAGTTGATCGAGTCAAATAGAGAGGTCGAACATAACATTTTCTCCAAAAACTGTGAAATTTTATGTTTATTTCGTCACATTTTAAAGTTCACGGGGTGCTAGTAGAAGAATATTTCACAAGGAAACGAATTAGCCCACTTGTTTAACCTCAAAGTTTTGTATAAACCGAGTTATAAGCGTTTAAAGTTTCCAAATGTTGTCCGACTTCTCCTATAGACTCGATCCTTTGTGAGCCGGTAAGCCCGGGCGCGTGATAAAGTGGAAACCTGGAGGATGCTGCTTCTGCAGCTCTGATTTTTTTTACTCGAGCACTGACCAACGAAAAACTTTTTCAGGGGATCTTTGAAAATGGGACCTGGCTCAAAATCAGTGTCGACACTCCTCCTGGTCGCTGGACTTGCGTGCTCTGCGTGCGGTCTGTGGCTGAACAGCAAGTCGCGACAGTACGGTCGCCTGGGAGAGCCGATCGTCCACCCTGAAACACCCCTTCCTCCGGACGAGTGGTTCAAACAGAAACTGGATCACTTTAATGCAGCTCACAAAGTTTTTTGGAATCAGGTTTGCGACTAAATTATGTTTACAATCAGAGGCGGATCCAGCAATTTAGCAACAGCGAATCTCATCCATTTAAAGCTATGTTAAATATAGATTCTTCTCGGAGCACCTGGCCCCTCCAAGAATCGATATATTTCCATAGGTTTAAATAGAGAAAAGACAATATTGCCAATTTGCTGGATCTGCAATGTTTACAATGCTTGCGATAATGAGATTAAATCGTCTGGTGAAATCGAAATTATTTCTGAGATACCTGATTAATATGTGAAAATTATCCAAGTGCTCTATATTAATATAATAATTGACTTTATAGTTCTTTATCCTAACAGTAACAATTCTTTACATTAATACTGTCGCCAACACGAATGCATCATGACAAACCATTCGTCTAGTGCTCTACCTTTTTTGATACCGCTATTTCAACATGCGTGTGCCCGATTTTGCCTAATTTGTGATATGAAGGCGAATCTATTCGCTCCAAAGATTAATGACTAAAGGCTTTCAATATTCAGCTGAGCTCATGTCACAAACTGTCAAAGGGATTACACTCACTGGGGTTGCAAAGATTATACGAATGGAAGTGGAGCAAGGGAGTGAGTGGACTCTGGAAACAAACAGGAGAGAATAGTAAATTGATTCGCCCTCATTTGATGAGGTAGGCAAAACGGGCTCCCGGGAGCGCGAAGAGTAGTATTATAATGAGGATGAATCATAACAAACTATCCACCCAATACTTGGTATTTCGATACCACTAAGATGCGTGTGCCTACTTTTGCCTACTTTGTTAATTGAAGGCGAATCCGTATGTTTCGAAGACCAAAGTGGAAACATGCATTTCAGTGATCGCACTCTTACCCTGTACTTGTTTGATCCCGGCAGTTTTGCTCGGAGGTACGCTCAGACGTCTAATAAATTGTTTTTGTGTATATTGTATAGCCAACATCATTCCGAGTAATATATCTCATATCTAGCAAACTCATGTTTTTGTTGCAGCGTTACCAGACAAATGGCTCGTATTACAAAGTTGGTGGTCCAGTTTTCTTGATGATCGGTGGAGAGGGAGAAATCTCGGCAAAATGGATGGTGTCTGGTGCGTGGATCGACTACGCTAAAAAGTATAATGCTCTGTGCTTCCAACTCGAGCATAGATTTTACGGGAAAAGTCATCCCACTGAGTAAGTCTCTTCTTTGTAAACAGTATTCTATTTCTTCATGATTTCTTCACGTGGAAACTTTTGGCAGTCGTACCTACTACAGAGGTAAGCTTGTGAATTGGACTATTTTTGCCAAACAGAACTATATGCACTAAGACATGAGCCCTGAGACTCATAAGAATATATGAATAACAGGGCTCACGTCATAATACGCATAGTTTCGTTTGGCAGAAATACATCCAATTGGCGTAGAAGACCTGCGGCACAGTCCTTAGAGCAATGTGAAACTCAGCTTTTCGCGGTTTTTGGAAAACTTTTTTAAAAGAATGGTAACATTCCCTTTCATGAAGACTAGGAAAAAAATATTGCCTGTACTTTAACAAAGTCCATATTAAAAATACATTTTTAATATTTCTAAAAAATAATTTGAAACACTTTCTTAGGCGAAATTGTTCAAGTGACTGAGACATTATGAAACGGGTTATCTCATAATTTCCGTGTTAATATAGTTTTTTTTCAATGCGTCAAAATAGTAAGTAAGTATTTTTCGGCGCATTTTTCCTGAACGAGACTCTGCGACTTTAATGGATGAATGAGAGGTCGAATATTGAATCCCTCTCCTCTACCTCCCTGATGTTTGGGGACCATTAATACAACATATTTACACAGCAGCCCATGACAATGGTATCATGAGAAAACGGGGAAAACGGGAGAAACAAGCCTAAAAAAACATTGGTAACAAAAACTGAGACGTTTGGCTTTTTTTTTTTTTTTTTTGTGTGTACATTTTCCCAACAACAAAACTGCACAAGAAAAATTTGAAAAAAATTTGTAGATCTTAGGTTTTTTTCGAAAAAAATGTATATTTTGTAGTCTTGTTTCTCCGACTGAAAATGGCTAAGTTCGAATGGTGAGCCGAAACGTCTCAATTTTTTTATGTATGTTCAACCTTGTTTCCCGCCCCCTCCCCTTGATTTTTCATGTTTCTAGTGATCTCTTTGTTATATCTCCATTTTGATATCGATTTTTACTCTCGTGGATGTGCTCGCCAGGGATATGAGCGTTGAGAATCTGGGGACGCTGAACAGCGAACAGGCGTTGGCGGATTTGGCGTGGTTCATTAGAGGAATGAATCGCAAGTACAAACTCCCGAGAGAGACCAAATGGATTGCGTTCGGCGGTTCGTATCCCGGATCTCTGGCTGCGTGGCTCCGCTACAAGTATCCCCATTTGGTATACGGTGCCATCTCTTCCAGCGGACCACTTCTGGCTAAGGCAGATTTCTCAGGTTTGTAAGCTCCATGTTAATTAGGCGATTCGACGGAAGCCATTTTTTGTGTCAGAGCGACGTGCGATACATCACATCGATGCGTTCAATAATATCAGCTGCTTGTCATTTTTTTCGAATATTGAGATCGTAGTGCTGCCATTTCCCGGAATTAATTCCGAATTACGGAACTTTTGCAATTTCTCGCGATCTTCAGAAGTCCCGGAATTTCTAGCTATTTTCGGATTCTTCTCGGAATTCTGAAGTTTTTTGTCAATTTGACCGATCAATTGACCTTTTTTTTTAAATATATCAAATTTGACAATTTTTGGAACTAAATTCTGGCGCATTTCGGGATTTTTCGGGGAACCTTTCATAAATTCGACTTTTTCTTGGAACTTTTGGATATCGGAATCAATTCCGGAAACCCCGGAATCTTTGGTGTAATGAAATGACAGCACTGGGAGATCGCCCTTGACGGTGATGTATCGCAATATTGTCGAACAAAAAATAGTGATAAATTGAGATAAAATTTCAATTTTATCGAACGCGAATTTTCGTAGGTAAAATTGCGACAAGATCGAGGATAATCGCTCAGATTTTGATGATTCTGGCGATTTTATCGCCAAAAAATCGTAAAAATATCGACTTAATTTAAAATATCGATTTTTCCGTTGAAAAGTGCTACAAGGTAGGCAAGGTCCAAAGAGGAATTTCCGTCTTGACATTGTCAATCAAGTCAACGCACAAATCCAGCAATCCCTGATGACTATAGGTGGTATCTGAGGGGAAAAGTAAAAAATAAAGTTACGAGAGTTTCAGGCTCCGCGACAAGGAGATACATTTATTGATTACCGGTGACTGAAACCGATGTCATCAATTTTTTTTTTAAATTTATTAACATACCGTTCTCTTTCGCACGAAAAATTCACGGCATTGATTTTGTGGATATTCTGGAAAATTTGTGTTAAGATACTTATGGAATAATGCAATTCACGCGAGGAGACTCGCAGGGGCTGTCCTGTAAAAAATTCAATCCCGGTAGAAATTTCGGAAGACTGCGATGGAAGTTAAATCAATTGCTATGTCAAACGGTTCATGTTAAAAAAATAGAATAATTTTTTATTATTTTCCAGAATACTTTGATGTGGTGAAGGCTAATTTAGTCAAAGAAAGTGGCTACCTATGTGCTGATACTATTAGTCAGGCTTATGCTTCCATTTACAATAAATGGAGAAACGTTAATGAGCGCTCATTACTGCAAGGTATATTCAAGTAAGTGTTCAGCAGTATAAATACCTCATGTACGGGGTATTTCTTCTTTTTTTATAAAAGTATCTTGCGAGAGCATGCAGAAATATTTACCGATCACTTGAGACTATTTTTACTACAAAAATGCGGATGATAAAACAAAATCGTTTCAAATTTAAAGATGGGCAATATTTGCACCAATATTGTGCCATCTTCCTATTATTCGAATAGTTATATATTTAACAGCTTTTTTTCATTCCGCCTCTACTATAACGTCGTATGGTTCTTGTAAATAAATTATAAAAAGAATTGTGAGAATGGTTGCGTGGGAATCTGTTTCTTGCGCAAGCCTCGTCTAATCAATGTGAATCTTTATAGTAAATATAAATAGAGGGGCTAGCCCTTGCCCCCTATTTTAAGTTATCTTATTTCTATCTTCACTTATCGGTAATCATAACTCCCCGGCCCCCCTTCCTTAGAACTGGAATACACTGTATAGTCCCGCTGCTTCTCCTCTCTGGAGCTGGTGGAGTCTTCCAGAACTCCCTCGGCGGAGTGTTTTCTCGTGCCCCCCCCCCCTTCAGACTCCCCGATGCCCTGTCCCTCACAATCAGTCCCTAATTTTGACTACATTTTGCAATCAGGAACCACTACCTTTAGCTCTTCCATAAAATCACGTACCTGCATGTGGAAACCAGTGGCATATGTGGTGTTTCTAAAATAAGCCAGAAATAGTGGTTCCTTATTGCAAAATGTAATCCATTTCGTCCGTGGTGAGTTAAAACAAATTCAGCACCCAATCGGCGAAAATAATCTTCTGAATAGAAGCAGTGCGAATCAAATAGGTATATATTATCACTCCAATGCCGAATAAGCTAATACCTGTTTTTTTTTTTTTGTTTCTTTTTTTAGTTTGTGTGACCCCCTCGGAGACGATGTTTTAGACTTCACAAATCTGAACTCGGAGTTGTCCGACAACATCGCTGAAGTTGTGCAGTACAACAAAGATAACAGAGCGTCGTCATTGAACATAACAATCACAAACATTTGTGATATTTTGACTAATCCCAGTAATGGAGGCTCGGTATATTCCTTTTTTAACCTCATTATTTATTTTTTTCCCCATTTAGTAAGTGTTTTGGTGCAATGCGAGAAGTATTCATGCAAGCTTGTAGTCGTTAATATGCGTTTGACACAGACCGCACTGTTTGGCGCAATGCGTGAAGTATTCCTGCAGTCTTGCAGGCGCTGATGTCAGTTTCACGCCGACCGCACCGTATTTGGCGCGATTGTTCGAACATAATAGCGGCATCGAACAGTGGGGCTTAAAAGTCCCACGTTGTGACCACAGCTTCCTCAGTACAAGGTTTTGGTATCTTAGGATAAATCACACAACTTTTTTTTTTTATCTTCGAGCAAAGAGACTTATTTAGTTCCATTTGAAAGGAACTTCCGACAATTTCTATAAGGATTTTTTCCCGCAAAGTTTTGATTGCAACTAATCGTGAGTTCTGTTACTCAAAATTGGATTCTAGATTTCTCGTAAGGAGTTACCGTAATCACAAGAAATTCGTTGAATAATTTTGCATAGGAATTTTGGCGAAATTTGTTTCACACCGAAAGAAAAAATCAACAAAATAATTGTAGAAAAAGAGAGCAAGGCTGAAATCTCACCTGCACTAACAGTAACAGTGTTAACTATTGGAAATTCAATGTTAAATTGGATGAGTGTGAACAATTTATACCAATGCTGGCCCATTAAAAGGTAGGTAAAATTATTTCTTAGTGACTTCCTATATGTAGAGATGTTTTAAATTTGATTACATTTGATTTATTCTTACTTTCTAGCTCAAAAGATTTGCAGTATTGAATGACTTTATCGCAGAGCGCTCTGGAAGAGAATGTCTGGATTACAAATACGATAAAATGATTAAAACATATCAAAATACTTCTTGGGAAGGAGAAGATGCAGCATCTCGTAAGTTACTAAAAGCATATCTTCTTTTGCAATTATTTTACTGGAATTCGATAGAATGTTCAACCTGTAACAATAGAGGTGCTTACGTCCTTGATAAAGGAAGAATCCGGAAAAACCCTGAGAGTAACGCGTTGAGCTGCAGGGGTTTTCCAAAAAACAAAAATATCAATGCCTGATCGTTTTTAGAGTATTATTTCAGCTTTACCATATCATCAAGCCATATAAAATATCAGAAATGCAAAATCTTATGAAATAAGATGGCATCTTTGGAGAATGATTTCATTTCAAGTATCTCTTCAAAACCCAAAATTGTTGCAGACCAAAATACGAATAGTTCACGTAATTTGGAGTGACCCCGTACTTTTTTGGTTTACGTAAAATTGGTATTGATTCGTTTTTTTCATACCTTTACAGGCACTGCAGCAAGGTCATGGTATTATCAGACATGCACCGAATTTGGTTTCTACCAAACGTCCGAAAATCCTCAAAATCTGTTGGGAAGTAGTCTGCCACTCGAATTCTACCAAAAGATGTGCACCGACATTTATGGATCTGAGTAGGTGTTTTTATTTTTCACAAACTGCTTCTCTCCCTGCATCCCTCTCTCTCCCCCTTTCCCTTTCCCCTTCCTCTCTCTCATTTCTTTATAAGCAGTTTAAGAAGATCCTAATGAAATGAATTCCCAAAAAACAACCAGGCACTTCAGGAATTTTTCTGATTGAAAAAATTTCACTTTCTGCAAAGAGATTACATACATCTCTGCTCTGTTTAATTCTTCGCAATTCAAGTTGAGTTTATAATTTATCAAAATTGACCGTTCGTTCCTTCGTGTTGAAGTGAGGGATCCATTTCTTTTCTTTTAGGCGGATCCATTTCTTTTCTTTTAGGCGGATGCATTTCATGTCACGCATTCTGATGAGTTTTATTGTGCAGAAATTATTTACCGTTTCGAATTTATAGCCATTGAACTCAATCATACAAGGATACTCCTGAAGAGGCGGTGGTCAGGGAGTTCTTAAACTCTTCCCCTTTCCTTCATTTGACTTAAATATTCTCTTGAAAGGTCATTCGCTGCGAATTTAAGGATACTTTCCTATCCCTGAACCCCCCCCCCCCCNAAATTTATGATCATTTACATATCTCCGAAGAAAAAATTTCTTGCCATGATACAGGTTACTACTCTGATTTTACGAAATTTCTGCGAGAATTTCTCGATTTACGACTTGACGATAGATTTTCACGAGTACCTAATTTATTTTTAATTTCTATCAGGTTTAATGAACATCTCTTGCACGAAGCCATCGACGAAACGAACACCATGTACGGTGCTCTCTCGCTGATTGTGGATCACGTTGTTTTCGTCCACGGAACTGTGGATCCATGGCATGCCCTCGGCATGATGAAAAAGAGTTACCCTGGGGCCAAAGTAATAGTGATCAAAGGTAAGATTACTTATGTGGATTCACTGCTACCAGATAGTGCTAAAAAATTTGAACTTTTCTCCATTTAAATCAATGTAAGACATTTACATTTCATTCTTTAATCTGGCAACCTTGTAGGGATTTATAGTGAGTTTGTTATAGTCACAAATCCTAGGACAGGACGAAGATGAGATAGTAATCGGTCAAAATAGACCCAGTCAAGATTTTAGCAGACAATGTGCGTGATAAATGAATCTGTACAGCATCGAAAGTCGAGCATTGAGCTATCGTTGTTGTATCGGCGCGCTCTTCAACTTTTGTGTTGAAACTGCATGCTTCGTTATTCATGCATTTAGTTTTTTATTTTCTCATTTGAACATTCGGAGGAACATAATCAAAGTTCATAATCTTCACATTATAGACGCAAAAGCGAGCTGATAGTTATACTGATTGCCAGTCCCTTTGTTTTCGGCGCATTTTCAACTCTTTGAGCCCGTTTACTTCAAGAGCCATAAATTTCAGATCCGCTTTTTTCCGTTCGAAGGTTCCTCGTACTTATTTTTCCTCTTTTAACGAAAGCATAGAATAGACTTAAATGAAACATTAAAATGATAATTCTTATCTTAGCTCGGAAAAATCACGACAGATTTCAAAGTGTTAATATAAGATAATCCATATAAAACAGGCAGTGAAAAAGTTGCAACGTCGCAAATTGAGGTATGAATGTAATCTCGCCATCGGTGATGAGAAAATGTGCAACTGCGCACGCGTGACAAGCGTAAGTTCAGCGGTAATCATAATGCGTGATCTCCCGTCACCAAGTCGAAGCGACACTGTCACTGTTGAAGGCGCTCTGCGCAACTATTCCGCCACGGAAGTGTTGCACAGTATCAGGCGAAAATGAAGGCGCACCAGAATATGTAAATTGACCGGTGATGCTATCCATCGTGTAGAGTCCCACCAATCCCACGATATGCCAGTGGCGTGGCGTGCTTTGCGATATATCGATTGTTATGCCATTTAAACCTATGGAAAAGGATCGATAAACAGGGTGTTCGCAGCGAACACCTAAATGATCGATTCTTTACCATAGGTTTAAATGGCGTAACAATCGATGTATCGCAATTCACGCCACGCGGCCTGGATACGCGGATACTGGATATGCCGCTCCTGAACATACATTGTATACCCTTGTTTTACATACGTTTAAATGGAGGAAAAACAATGTTGCAAGCTCTCAAGAATCACAACTGTAAGTAGCGAGCTTTGAACACCAATCAATTTACCGGAAAGCATAATTTCACTCATTTTATTCGTTACATTTGTAGCAAATACAAAATAATGACCCAGTACTATCTTTCTGTTTTCCAGGTACTGCTCATTGCGCGAACATGTATGCACCATCTGAAAATGACTCGCAAGAGTTGAAGCAGGCTCGCGTAGAGATTTCAGAAGTTCTTGGTTCTTGGCTTAGTGAAGGTCATCGCTTAAATTCTGAATCGCAAAGTTAGGCGTTGCATTTTAAGCGATTTCAGAATGAAACCGTCAATGTCACATTGTCTCACCATGCCGACAACTAAAAGAGCAAAGTCCTCGATGCACCAGAGGTGATTGGGGATCCTGAATCAGAACTGACCGTGGCTGATTCAACAAATTAGCGCCATAAAGCAGGGGCCTAAGAGTCTTCCATTCTCAAATTTTGATGATTTAGCCATGATTCATAATCATGACTTGATTTCCTACCTCCTGGTAAAATATATATGCCGATGGCTAAAGGTGAAAAATAGCGTATCTCAGATTGCAATGTTATAAAGTCCACGCTGATGTTCAATTTTTTTGAAGAAACACCAGCCAATAATTTTTTTTTTAAATTTTTTGAAAATTTTCCGCACTTATTCTAAAATTATCGCATAAAATCGCAAGTAGATTTTCCGATCAGCTTTCCTGAGGGAAAATAAAACATAATCGGAGATTTTCGAACGAGGCAATTATAAGATACACTTTTTTCGCATTTGGTCATCGACGTATGGTTTTTGATAATAAAATTAGTTTTTTCTCTCCGAGGCCCACCTGCCTCGCAACGAATTTGGCCACGACGCCTGATGGTTAGGCCACCAGTGCTTTTCAGATTTTACCACATGTTTTTCCAATGAAATCTCAGCAGATAAAATACGAGCCAAAACGAACACTACAGTATAGCTATTCCACTGTCGCGGAACCAAACTTGTTGCGAATTGAATTAAAACGAATGAAATAGATTGTGAATCAAACATTCAATAAAATATAAGAAATAATTTTTTTCAAGTTGTTCGTCTTTTTCCTCTATCATTCAGAAATATAAATATTTAGGTCAATATTTACAACGATGTCGCAACTACGAAATCACTAGTCTCGGTTTGCAACGTTGCAGATTTCCTACATGTGCCTTTGCGTTTTTGGAAGATGAATGCTAAGGAGGTTCAATGAGTAAGTTTTCCCACACTATAGTTTCGTTAGTTTTGAACCGATTTTGAATTAGTTTAGACTTGAAGAGATCTGAAAACTGCTTAAATTTTTTTTTGTAAACAGCAAAATTTCATTGAACAAAAATTGACAAATACACTCCGTTCATTCACGCGTGATGTGCTCTTAAAATTTATATCCGAGCTTGAGCAAGAAAGGGCCATGAGATAGCCTCTTTTTTAGTTCCTTCATTTCTTCATGATGATGTTCCACATCAGAACTGTAGGTTGATTTTTTGCGACAAAACGGGGAAAGCAAAGAATTTTCCTAATTTTTCATGTTTAGTTGTGAAAATATAATTAATTTTTCTAAAAAGAACCCCGAAAACCTTATTTTCTAGGTAAGGAAGTTTTGAGAACAAAGCACGCGTGAATAAATGACGCGGCTCATTATCAGCCACTTTTTGCCCGACATAAATCGCAGTTAAGTAAACAAAAAAATTTAAGAGTAGTTCAGCATTTTCTTCGATATGAAGAAGTTGAACTTGGCAAAACTTAACGAGGCTCTATTTTTTGAAACACCCACACAAAATGGGTAACAAATCCAGTGAACGCATTTCCTGACCCAAGTGCAAAGATCGCCTTCAAATAATAAATATGCAACTCCACCCGCACTGCGTCTGAATTGTTATACCCAAGTTACCCAAGTAGCAGTGATTGCGATTAGCGACTTTATCGGTTGGTTATCGCAATTATATCGGTGGCAATATATCGAGATATTATCGCATTAAAAATTGCGATGCTACACATCGCAATTTTTGGTTCGATAAAATCGTGATAAATTTTCGTCAATAAAATCGAGATAAAATCGCCATTGATCGCGATTAATTGTCGGGCGATAGAACCGCGATTTTATCGCGACAAGATCGAGGATAACCGCTCAGATGTTGATGGTCCTGCCGATTTTATCGCCAATCGAGATGTATAGCGATTTTTCCATTGAGAAATGTTACTTGGATAGGCGTTGTGTCCGTTACGTAGGTATAATGCTTTCAGGAGACACTTTGATCTCAAAAAAGATAATTTATCATATAGCTGTTGCGCTCCCTTGCTATAATAACTAAAATACATTATTAATCGCCCTCAACTTCTTAGATGTAACATATTCATTCAAAATGCAATATTTATGTAATTCACGCACTCATCTTTTTTAGAATTCAAGCAAACCCCATCCATACTATTTTATTCCATGAAGGAGGGGGGGGGGTATAAAAATAAATTATGATTTCATTTTCCTGCAGAAAGCATCAAAAGTTTCGGATTTATTTTTTTACTTTAGGTTGCGTGCATCATTTCCCTCGACCAGAGGTCTGCCATCTGGCAACTAGTTAACTGATGAAAATTGTTCGCATGTAGATAATGAATTTCGTGCTTTAAATGAATAAGTGGTTATAATTACACAGTAAAAAATTAATCCTTAAGATACTTAAACTTCCAAGCCGAGTCAAATAGATGGACCCGAGGCTTGCTAAAAAAAAAATTGTGCCCCGCAGGTTTTATGGTGCTAGTATTTATGTACAAGCTTGAGTTATAAGTCTACAAATACATCTCAAAGAGAGAATGTGACGGAACAGAAAGAGAAAATCCAGTGTCAATACCGCCGAAAACAGGAATTGCGCCACGTTTTTTTAAACTTTTCTTCCTTGGCAGAAAAAAGAGGAACATTGCGAGTTTACGCCTCGCGCCATCGCGCCTTCAATTTCGCAGACGCAACACGGACATCCATCAAGTACGAATAGTTGTATCCCTGCGCCGTCATCAACCTGCAACCTTTTCCCTGCTTCACTTACATGCTGCGTTGTTTCCATTTGACTTATTTGTGGTGGTGCTTCAAGGGCAACGTGAGAATTGCAGCCGTAAGAAGGAGGGACGTGGTAATCGGACCCCGTTTTTTGACTTTTCTGCCGAATCTGAGCGACGCGACGACCCTTCGTTTGCATCAGAAGACGGAGCATCGCGAGTTCATGCTCGCGTCATGGCGCCTTCGATTCAGCAGATGAAACATGGACATCTATCAAGCACGAATAGTTGTATCTCTGCGCCGTCCATCCGTCATCAACGCTCGTTTTTTGACGACTAGATACCTTATCCCTAAGAAATCCCAGGCAGAGTCAAGTTGACCCGGCGCGCCGACAGTCTCTTGAGGAGGAGGTGACGTCGATGATGTGAGAGCGCCAAAATGGTAAAAATTGTGAAAATTTAAAAAAAAAAAAAAAAAAAAAAAAAAAAAGTATTACTGACCTTCGCTTCGCCGCTCCCAGCTAGCTCCCAATGCAGTGCTGCGACTTATTAGCGTAATTTTTCGTATTGTTTTTATTTTCGATATTTCTGAAATTTGGCAGCGCTGTAAAAGCAAGGCGTAATGTCAACAACACAACTTTTGAGGTTATTTGTTCAGTGTCAGAAGATGTGAAACAGCACTGAAAAACTGATAAATAAGTCAGTTTTTCTTGAAATATATTCAGCAATGACATTTTTTTATTTCTAATTAATCCCTTGCAGTTAGTCACATGTGTTCAAACTGGTGCAGTTCCATACAAGTCCCTGTCATCGAACGTTTTTATACCTGCACTTTATTATGCAAGGTAAGGTATAATTATGCAGAGTTTGCACTTCACAAAACCAATTTTGTTTCCGCATGTCAAAATTGATTTACTTTCAGATTGTGATTTTACAGTCAATACTTGTGTAAACTTAAATTCTATTCCATAGTAACGGTTTTCCCTGTTTATGGTCGTTCCATGATGTTTGTGATCATGTGAGGTTCAACTTGGATTGCATGCCGAACAAAAATTTTGTCTCTGTGTTTTGGGCAGTTTGCTCCATTCAATGACTTCAATTTCTCTCATGCAAAGCTCTTCTCCTTTGAGTTTCATAAGTCTCGTCCCTTTGTAACTTCTTATCAGGAGCTTATAAACCAGGTGAGGATCTGCAATGAGATTAGTGTGTGGGCGTCAGAGACAATGTAAGTGATAGAACTGTGCATGAGCTTCAAACATCAAAGTCCACTGTCTCTTATTCGAGATATATTCTTATTTGATTACACTGTTGTCACTATATTTTATTATTCTAACTTTTGAGTATCAATCATGGATAATTATTTTGCTGAAGCATTTATCTACATACTGTCATTGAATGCAGGACCTGCGCTAAAGTGTGCCCTAATGTCAGCCATCTCTCTTCTGCTCAAGCAAGCTTAGTCCCAGGACTAATGTTCAAGTTCATATTTTGTGCAAACCCTAGATTCCACGATTGTTTCAAGCGATTGTTAAAGCAGTGGCAAACTCAACTCTCCTGGATCGAAGTTCAGTTCAGAAAATATTTTAAAGTAAAATATCTGTTAATATTATAACCCTTCAAGAGAGAAAACACTTGATTCTTTGTTATGTCACTATCCTAGGTCATTGCTGATACAAATTAAAGGAGAAGTCAGAAAATATTACCATGACATTGCTCATAGAGTTGTAACAGAGGTGTTGTCATAAACTTGATTGTCATAAAACTGATAAACTTTGAGACTGCTGTGCGCTGCCTGTCAGATATCACCTCATTATTTTGGATTAAGTATGAGGATTATTTGGAACTAATCTGGAACATTAAGAATTGAGACTTTTTTTAGGGGAGCAAAACCTAATCAAAAGCTGACAGTCGAGTTCTTTCCGCCTGATTACGCCATCCGGGCTTACCAAGAGTATCGTCTCAAACCGGTCCCATTTTTGGCATTTTCAAAACCTGGTTATTTTGTCATTGTGGGTTAAAAAAAATCTGTAGAAATTCCTAGAAGCTTAGTTCAATCCGCCCTTACCTTGAGAAATTGAATAAAAAAATATGAGTATGACTGGCCTACTACCCAGGAGAAGTTTTTTTTTTCAGGAATTAAAATATAGAGACCGATCATGAGTTATTGATGACATTCATGTGTTGTCTTTTGTCTTCATGAACTGTTTGATAAAAATTCACAACTTTATTTTTTTCAGATCCATTTCCAGAGATATAGTCACTTTTACTGAGTGTTACACTTATAATGCACATTGAATAAGAAGCTAGAAATATGCCAACCACCCTCATCGCTTCATCAGCGGACCCTGATGCTGCAGGTAACCATAGCTAATATCACTTTAATTATGGGCTGGTGTGAATATAGGATTCCAGTGTCAAGAGATAGTATTGCTGGCTGGCATCAATACTTTGACCCTTTGTTATCTAAGTCTTTAGATTTTTTCTCAGGACTATTCTAATTTTTAAAATTGGCTGTGGTATTATTAATCGTAATTGGATGCCAAAGCATCCTAGTGAGGTAGCATGGTACCCGATAATGGCCAAACTCTAGACGATTGCTTTACCTATTCGATGGTTGTAGGTTCGAATCTCTCTCTAACACCCCCCCCCCCCCNAATATTGTATGTGATTGTGTTTCACCTTATGACCAACTATCAGTAAAATCATTCAAATGAAAATTAACATGTAAGATAATATTATAATACATTGACTGTTCCTGCGGGCCGATTATTGATACTATGTCAGCTGGACAAGACAAGACATAGCCCTATCTTTATCATGCAATATGTTGTATTTCAATGTCTTATCGGGCTGCTCTAAACTTTCAATAGGCCCGCTGTGCAGCCTAGACTTCATCCTACTATGCACACATAATGTGAAACTGCAAGGCAATAATTTCTTAAAGTTGTAAGCATTAAAAATTAAAAAAATTGTAAGTTTCGTTTGAACCATTGCAGATTGTAGCTGTACATTCTCCTTGTGCGCTCTTTACCTCATAAAGATCCCTGTAAATTCAAAACAATCGGTTTGATCCATGAATCAATAATGTACCATATCAGCATATTGTGTTGGATGTCACTGCTTTTTGCAGGCAGTAATATCAATAATGCATTGGAATTGTTTTGTTGCAGGTGCAACATCAGCAGATGCTAAAAGTGATAGTGGTAGCAGTCAAAGTGATGTTACAAACAGTACAAATGTCACACAAGGGCGTCCAAAAATGGATGTTGTTTGTGTCATTGACCTAACACAATTGGAACATTTACCAGCTCGGAAAAGAGCATTTGAAGAAGTGAAGCAGGCTTGTAGTCTAGTAAAGGCTGATTTACAACATGTGCAGGTGAATATTATGTATGCTTCCCTTCAATATCTTAGTGAAACACAACATTTATTGGGCCGCCCCTTTCCCTCCAATGGATCCTTTAGATGAGTGCAGCACAAAGCAAAAGGAAAACAAGCGTTAATGTGGTATTTTTCTTAAAGCAGCAATTTACTAATCATAACTTAAACCAAGACTATAACAGAATGTAAAGTCTATTTTTGGGTGTCCAAAAATAAGTCCAAGAAGCAAAAGAAAATTTAGAGAATAATAAATACATATTATACATTATTTAAGATGCAAGTGAAAAGCAACCATCTTTATCCATAAGTATCTGTATGTATGATATTTCCTTTTTAAGTATAACATTTTGCCATATCTGATCAAAGTTTCTGACAAGCCTTCATTATTTTTCAACCCGAAAAAACCTGAAAAATTTAAAAATTTTGAATGATTGGCTTTGCCTGACAAATGTAAAATTTATATTATATTATTCTTTGTAGCAATAGGTAGTTTTATTTCCAAAGTTCGTTGAATTTAATCTTTTTTTATTTATTTATTTATCTATTTATTTTTTATTATATTTTACTTTCAGTTTGAAAAGCTTGATTTTGGTGAAACCAATGTTTTGGACTCCTTTTATAATGCGGATGTTGCTGTTGTAGACTTAACCATCCAATCTCAGTTGAGTTCACTATTCTACCACCTTGGAGTCAGAGAAAGTTTTGGAATGAAACAAAATATCTTATTGTACGTTGACCATGATTCGGAAACAACAATAAAGTTAAAGGTAAATGGACGTTTTGTAGCTCAAAGTGAGCACTCATTGATGTGTCCTTTGATGGATATTATTTTATATAAACTGAATGAAAGGAAACATTGGCTTTCATGCTATAAGCATAGAGCGATCTGAGTCATAATAGAAGTAAGCAAGCAACTAGATCCTGAAGCGTCAATAAAGTTTTGGGCCATGCTCTCATCATACTAAATTACTTTTCCTATCTAACTTTCCTTGCATTTTTTGGAGGAGGTACTTTGCTGTCAGTGTACAGAGGGCTTGAACTTCATCGATGTGACACAAAGGAAATGCCCCTGATTCTATCTGAACTTTATTTACCATTGGATTAAAAATGGGCACCCGAGACTTTGAATCACTCTACCAGCAAAGAATCATCGTAAGAATGGTTTTTTTTTAAATGAACAGAATCATGATTATCTAAGAGTCTGACAGTGATCTCAATGATCTTTTCTTTGGTGGTATCCTGGATAATCTTATTAGCGACAGTAATGTTGTAGATTTTTATGATGGTAAAATCACCCAAGATTCAGTATGGGCATTATCAACATTATGATAAAAGAAACATAAATTGGAGAAAAATTTAATTTGTAACTGTAAAATGTGAGGATTAATTCTAAATTCCGAAGGCAATTATGATCATTTTAGTTCTTGCATCGAAAGAAATAAAAAAAATTAAAAATGGATCCCGAAAATCTGAATAATAATTTTTAAAAAAATATTGAAGCAAAAGGTTCTTTTTCCCATAATAATAGCGCCTTGTGAAGGTACTGTATCATACCACATATTAAAAAAACGCGTAAAATCATACACGGGAGTAAACTGGGGAGATATTGGTTTCTTATTTACGTGAATTTTACCGAAGAAAACTAATTTTCTTTGACTTTTAATTTAATCAAAAGAAATTAGAAAGTAAGTTTATTATAAAGTTTAACTGTATTTCATACAAACATAAAGTGCCTTTTGCCGTAAGGATTTTTATGCCGTCATACACTCAGGGTGAATATTTTGTGTACCTTCTTCAATTAACAACAATTTGATACATTGATGAACAAGATTGTTCAACTACGTTCATTTTTCCATTCTTATTTGATACTCAGGTTAAAGTCTCTTTTTCTTTCTTTTTTTCAGCTCTCTTGTGGATCTTACACCTTCCTCTCTTATCGCCTAAATGATAGCGGAGTCTGTTTAACAACAAATCCCAATGTCTTATGTGATGCTAGTGATCAAGTAGAACCTCGTGTACCAATAACTGTGAAGTTAAAAAAACTCTTGGAAAATGTGGAAATCCAATCAAAGTAATTGTTTTCATTACTTTATTTTTTCATTTTTTATTTTTGTCAGAAACATAATTGATGGAGTTGAGGTCAAAGTGGCTGGCTAACTTTTCAAGTTTATAAGAGGATTCGCTGTTTACATATCAGAGCCTAACAGAAGAATCAGGATGGCACATCTTCTATCTCATTAAAAAAGTGACCAACTTATGTGACGGATACATCATTAAAACTACTTCTGATCGCTGCTTCTAACCTCTGGAAAACCCCCTGCAATGTTACTTTTATAGTTATGCATGTATGTAGGTATCCATAAATAGTCTTTGTAAAACTGTGAATACATATTGAAGATTATAAAAGAGTCCAATGTTGTATTTCCTGGGCATGCTAGCTGATTCAGTGAATTGTATTTATATAATTTTATTTTGTAGTGAGGAAAGAAACTTTTTACTGTCCAAATATTTCTGGTAATTCATTTCTCATAGGAAAACCAAGCATCATAATTACTTGAAATATTATTGAGAATAATTTTCATGAACAGACAGAACTACTGATTTTTCCCAAGACCCTGCTCATTCAAAAATTCCTAATATACCTCTCAAAAAAATAATTGGCCCTGGAAAATAGGTCATCTTCTCACACACTCGTATCGTTGGTTTACCTTCCTGAGTAAACTGCAGTGTATTAAATGAAATTTTGATTGTTGATATTGTTAATCAATTTTAATTTTATCATAATTCTGTGTAATGTGATATTCACACAAGGATTTTTGTCCCTCTTTTTTTTCTCTAGAATAAGGAAGGTAATACTTTGAAACATGTATATCTTTGAAAATCGACAAGAAAAATTCTCTTACGTTATCTACTAATAAGATGCTGTTGCAAAATGCTTTCTGGAATACATATCGTAGGAGTAAAGTCATTTGTTAATTGATTTTTTCTCTCTCCATACCAGGAAACACATCAAGGAAAAATTTCTTGTAGATCTCCGCAAAGCGCGTGAAGCCTACACTGGAGAGGAACTTAGGACAGCTTTGTATAATTTAAGAAAAAGATTAGATGACCCTCATGTACTGTCTGGAGAAGTGGTTTTGAATATTTTAATATCTTTCCGTGATATACAGGTAAAGTTGTTTTGGATTTTTTTTTTGGCTTTGATACAGGACGCTTTTTCTTCCCTCATATTAAGCGAGAGAACAACAAAGTTAATTACTGTTTCCTAAGTGTTCTCCAAAAGATTTTCCTTTTGTTTCTTTTCTGCAACTTTGCCTTGAAAAACTAAGCTTGCAATTGATTTTCAAGTTGGTTGATATTTGTTCCTCAAGTATATAATTTTGAAAATAGCTGACCTTGATACCTTTGCCTTTGGACCCATGAGTTCCATAAGTTCTTATGTAAAATGTATTTTTCAATTTTTATTTATCACCACATATTTAATGGTTCAAGGAAGTAAGTTTTTTTCATTGCAAATAACAATTTCCTCATCAAAATAGTCATTGAAATAAATACATACTAAAATGTTTATCAAATGACAGCAGTGTCAATATTAGCAAATCCATTATTATTCCACATATGTCAGTATGATTAATTTGTATACTTAATAAAGCTTCATTTCAAACTTTCAGGATTACGATGCTATGGTACGATTAGTCGAAGATTTAAAAACAATCCCCAACAAAAAAAATTATGTGCAGACTCCAGTGTTAAGATTTCTGTACCCATTTGCATTAAATAGGTATGTTATAATGATTGTCCTTCCATACGCCTTTTTTCAGGTATTTATATTGGAGTGTAAGCAATATCTGGTTACAAGTGGCCTTTATTTTAAAGTGGATGTGGATTTTTGTGTAAGTGGTCGAGTTTTTAATGTCGAATATGTTATTTGGATGCATTGTTAAGAAAAAAAGGAGGGAGGTTCTCAAATACTGTTGCTAGTGAAAGACCACCTAAAAATGGAATTTTCAATTCCAAATAGTTGAAAATGGGAAGAAGACCATTAGAACAATCCCCTATTTTAAAATAATTGTTCTTTCTTTTTACCAGACGAAACAAACCAGGAGACAGAGAAAAAGCTTTACAAGTCATTGAAAAAGCTTTGGAGAAGAAAGAAAACCATATTCCTGATATGCTGTGTCTCTGTGGCCGCATAAACAAAGACAAATTCGTTGAATCTCACTATCAAGATATGAGTAGTTTACAAGATGCAATTCATTGGTACAGGAAAAGCTTTGAAGTGCAACCGAATGAGTATGCTGGTATCAACTTAGCTACACTTTTAGTTATTGCAGGAAATGAATTTTCAAAGTCTGACGAACTACAACACATAGGTAAGAGACAGCTTGTCACTGTGTTTCAATTCTGCAAAACTCATGACTAGGCGTATTACAGTTTTCCAAGTTGATTGCCCTCCCTGAACTACGTAATCTGAAATCCATGAAAATAGAACAACATTCATGATCTTAAACTCAAAATGTTTATGAAGGTGCTTAGTCAACAAAACAAAACCGCATTGTAAGTTAATCAGACTAAATGTAACTTTATGCAGGCTAAAAGTCATGATGAGTCGTGAACAAACTTTGAGTCAAATACACTTCATTGAAATATTCGAGTTAACCTGGCTCAAAATTCTGAGCAGTTGCAGAGGTCTGAATTTATATTCAAAATTCTCGAAAAACTCGCAAGAACTTTTTGGAAGTCCTCATATTTTTCAAAGACAATCTACAGAAATCATCCAAATATTTAGCAAATCCAGTAGGTAGCGTCGTCCAGTACATACTAGAATAGCTGATCAGCCTAGTCTCTCAAATACTACGAAATCAGTTTGACCCGTCCACATTTTATTTATCTCTTTCAGTTCTTTGTCATATTATATTTGGACGTATTTCTACCAAACAGACCTATGTGGCGATGAGAAATGTGGGGTGTGCTCTAGAAATCTGCATAAGAAGCAATGTAAAAGTGGGCGTGGTTCCTTTTGAAGAATTGGAAAAGCGGGATATTGCATTCTATCAAAGAGACCTATGTGCAGCTGAGTGCGGAACTCATGAGCCGCGGGCATGGCAAGAAAGCGTTGTGGACAGGGCTCATGAGTTAAAGCGCCCCGACGACCATCTCCCCCTCGCTCGCGGGCGTCATCATTGCCGCTGACGTCACTGGCGCTTTATTATTCTCACTCGTTCTTACGGCCAGAGACTAACGAGCACACCCCATATTTCTCACTTCCACATAGGTCTGTTTGGTAGAACTACGTCCAATTTATATTCAAAATTCTCGAAAAACTCGCAAGAACTTTTTGGAAGTCCTCATATTTTTCAAAGACAATCTACAGAAATCATCCAAATATTTAGCATATCCAGTAGGTAGCGTCGTCCAGTACATACTAGAATAGCTGATCAGCCTAGTCTCTCAAATACTACGAAATCAGTTTGACCCGTCCACATTTTATTTATCTCTTTCAGTTCTTTGTCATATTATATTTTAAAGTCACTCGAACTTTTTTTGCAGGGGTTGTGCTAAACAATCTAATCGGAAAGAAGGGTAGCTTGTCTTCTTTAAAGGATTATTGGGATGTAGCGACATATTTTGAAATCAGTGTTTTAGCAGAAAACTATGCAAAGGCTGTGCAAGCATCTGAATACATGTTTAAATTGAAACCACCTAATTGGTAAGTTTTTTAGATTATATAGAGTGACTCTTTGCTTTTCCTATCAGTAGAATCGCAAACAATTGCCAATTCAATCGGACGCTTTTTTTTTATTTTTATCATGAATAATTAAATCCAGCATGCACCATGCCAACAGAAGTGAAAAACACGAAAAAGTGAATGATAAAAGTTTTACTTGGCATCATTGTTTCTCAAGATGATGTTTGATTAAATATACAAGTCTCCTTCCCAATTTATGTGCTGGGGATGGGAATAGGAACTCATCAGGAAAGTCCTCAAAGGTTATTCAAATTCTAAGAAAATACTTTTTATCAATGCACATGCATGAGTGTTTCTCTATCTTAGTTTTTTCTTTGATTCTTGTAAAGCATTTGTCAGGTAGATACATTATAACCTGCTAGGAAACATTTACATGATGTACATATCTACTGAAGTGGTTGCATTTTCTTTAATCTATCAATGTCAGAAGTACTTGCTTTATATTCTCAGACCCTCCTTTCTACAAAGTCTTCTGTTGTTGAGTTTTTGCTCTTGTTGATCGGTATTTTCTATTTCCTCATGCTTTTGTGAACTTTTTCTATAATCTTATATATTCAGAATTTTCCAAAACGAACATACTCTAATTTAAGGATCCAATTCCATATGTTAAAATAATCTCGTGGTTGTGAGAACTATAAATTATCAATGCAGAGTTTTAAGGGGAAAACTTTCTCCTGCTTCCAAATTTATTCATACCACTGTATCACACTTATTTTTTGGTAAGGTCTTGAGTTTTCATTCATTCATTCTTTTAATCGTTACAATTAAACGCAGGTTCCTAAAATCAACAGTCGGAAACATAACGATGATTGATCGATTTCGTAAGAAGAATGAAGATGCTGAGAAATCACCAGAGGAACAAATTTTTCAATTCTGGATGGACTATTTTGTAGAAGCTACCAAAACAGAAGTGGGAGACACCATCCGCTTTCCCGTGAGTTTCTTTTTTGCTTTTAACTTCTTCTACATATTTTTCTTTTACTTGAGTTGTCAGTTGTGCTTTCATTGACCCATGATGGTTAAGCTCAAGGTTTGATTTCAAGAGCCTCTTCTGAGGTCTTGTTTGAGTTTGATTCAAATTCAAAATTTAATGCACAGCCTTAGTATTTTCAACTTACACAGATTTTTTGCTCTAGCTTTCCACCACTTTGCAATTGCACAAATGATACAATATTTACCTAGTGCAAAAATCCTTTGAAAAATCAAATATTTCTAGTTTTTCTTGGTACTATTTAAGCTTTTCATTCATTAAAATTCTGTTTCCAGATTCTTATTTTAGAGCCCACCAAAATTTACATGCCAAGCTACGTAACAGTGAATCTCGGAGCTGAAGTGAAAAATATTCAAATGTGGAATCTCTGTATTCAGTCAATGAGGGGCCAATGTCGACAAGTTCATGACTGGCTCTTCACTGAAAGCCAAATTAGGAGTGTCAGGTATTGATCATTGATAATTAAATTATATTTTGTTTCTTCCAGCAATGTGGCATTTATCCATTCACATTCTATTTTTTGTTGAGATCTAATTTCTGATCCCTTGGCAATAATCACAAAATTTTACTGTCCAGATAGCAACATTCCAGTAAATTTAATGTGAGAAAGTGAGAAAATATCTTTCTCGAGTTTTTTTTATGTGAAAAAGAGGAGAGGAGTGTCAAGGGAAATGTTATTTTAGGGGTATCAGGACCAGCATTATGATCAAAATGTAAAGAGTGGGTGGGTGTTATAAAGGGGGGAAAAAACAAGTTAAGTAATTTATAGAAGGCTCTTGTGTGTTCCATTTTGTGGTATAGGGTGTATACAAAAAATTAAGTATGTTTGATTTTCCAGTGTGTCTTGCTCTCACTGCAAACTATGTCTAATTCTATTTCTTGTTTTATCTTGGTTTGTTGGTCGTTAATTCCATACTTTGTTTTTGTTCTAGTTTGTACAAAAGAGATGAGCGATGCCTGTTTCTGTATGTCCACGAAAACTCAGACGATTTCCAAATGTTTTTTCCTTCGGCTCTCTTTCGCCAACGATTTTATGATCTCATCCTTGAAATGACTCGTGATCAAGAAGGCATGATAACTGATCTCGAAAACGTTCTGGATCAGTTTAAATTTGAATATGAGTTAGATGATCAAGAAAAAAGAATTATCCTTGGTAAAGGAACTTATGGTGTAGTCTATGCTGCAAGAGACCTGAACACGCAAGTGAAAGTTGCTGTGAAAGAAATACCTGAGAGAAATCTAGGTGATGTGCAGCCTCTACACGAAGAAATCAAGCTTCATTCACAGCTACGGCATCGCAATATTGTTCAATATCTTGGCTCAGTCTCTGAAAATGACTATTTCAAAATATTCATGGAGCAGGTACCTGGAGGTAATTTGATGTTTTTTGCTTTTATTTACTTAATTTTTGGTTGACCCAAGATCATGTAAAGTGGATGATAGTATAGAGTAGCAAATATATATAATTAGATGACTTTCCAGATGGTAGAAATACATTCAGAGATGAAAATAATTCCTTTAAAAACTAGAGCTAGAGAGATGGAACACACCAGAATTAATAAGTTAATTTTCCCATCGTAATTTTTACATTTTTCAACCAATTTTAACGTTTTAAAAACTGGAATTGAAATAAGAACTCTCTCTGAATTTCATTAAATGCACTGATAAATTGATAAAAACAAAATTAATTTATCCCACATGGGTCTGAACTGTCTTGAAATCAGTTATTGATGTTTGCAAATCAATTTTCACTACTTCTGATTAGCAAAAAATCAGAAAGAAGTTCTCAAATGCGACTTTTCTTGTTATAATATTAATTTTGAAAAATATGGTGAATACTACCCTATAAAATATGTCCATGCATATTGTGACTGCCACCAACTTGATTCACTACTTGGTTATAAATCAAATTTAAGAATTAACTTTTTATACTTTTTAATTTGATTTTTCTGAGGAAGGTGTGGCTCAACACTTTGAAAGTTTGCTCATTTTCTTGTTTCCAATTTTTCAGGTAGTTTATCTGCTCTATTGCGTTCCAAGTGGGGTCCTCTAAAGGGAAACGAATCAACCATTATTTACTACACAAAACAAATACTTGAAGGTTTGAAATATTTGCATGATCAAAAGATTGTTCATCGTGATATCAAAGGAGATAACGTTCTTATAAATACATTCAGTGGTGTGGTCAAAATATCGGATTTTGGCACATCAAAACGCCTTGCTGGATTGTGTCCAAGTACCAAAACGTTTACCGGAACATTGCAATACATGGCACCAGAGGTCATCGACAAAGGACAAAGAGGATACGGTGCTCCTGTAAGTATTCAAATTTTGCCCAAGTCACCAGCTCTGCCTATCAATCATGCCTTTTTTTCAGCTGCTTGTTTTGTTTTGAAATTAACGGCAGGTATTTGTTTCCAGACATAGCGAGCAATAGTGACTCTCCTTAAAAATTTCCTATATTGTAACAAGAGCTTACAGTATTTTTTTCAATTATGTATCTCAAGTTTTTAAACATTCATACATTGAGAAAGGTTCTTTTCAGGGTGTATTATAATCTCACACCATGAGCCATTTTCTTAAAGATAACCACCTCAACTTATCATGCGAACAAATCATTAATATCATTTTTATGTATTCAACAGGGTGTCTAGCATCACGATTTTCCCGATTCTATCAGGATTTGAGGTCAATCAGGATTTAATCCCGATTTAATCAGGATTTGAGGAAAAATCGGTCGATTTGAGAAAAGTCGGCTGTCCTATCGGATTTTTTTATCGAGCTATTTTTGTGAAGTTGCATCTGCCTAATTTTTCTCTGCAAAAATCAGGATTTGATCATGATTTGAAAAATTATGAAATCAGGATTTAGCAGTCAAAAATCAGGAAAAATCAGGATTTCCGAAAGTGATAAAAAACTAGACACCCTGTTCAAATTCCATTGCCACAACCACCAGGCCTAGTAGCTGATGAGCCTTGTATTTCGATCCTTATTCTATGTGCGTTATTTCTTTCCCATGAATTGCAAATAAGATTTTTTTTCGCGACTTGTTACTGCATGTAATTGGGCAAGACGTGGCTGAGTGTTACTCCTTTTTTGATTTTTCTCTTGCAGTTTGTAATCTACTTTACCATAAGTTCAAAATCCCTCCCTGTTCCTCTCCATCTCTCATGTGTGTTGTATTGGGTGATCTAAAACGTCGTCCGAAAGGAAGCAGAAAATTATCCTGCATCATCGCTTTCATGTTTCAGGCGGACATTTGGTCTCTGGGTTGTACCATTATTGAAATGGCAACTGGTAAACCACCTTTTATTGAACTAGGATCTCCTCAAGCAGCTGTTTTCAAAGTAGGATACTATAAAATGCATCCTGATATTCCACCAGAGCTCTCTGAAAGGGCGAAATCGTTTCTTCTACGTTGTTTTGAACCTGACCCTGACAATCGTGCAACAGCCGCAGATTTATTGGAGGATCCTTTTCTTGTAGAGTGAGTAAAATTTTACCTTTTTTTAAACCTAGTTGGTACCATCTCTCTCATCCAGTTTTTATTTACATGAGCATCAAATGTCCATGTTTACAGGGTCTTCAGTGTTCTGAATAATCTAAAAAGTTAGGGAATTTGTATGTTAAGTTTTTGAATTTTGCGAGTAGCACATTGCTCAGTAACTTCAGCTGATGTCATTTGGGAGAGCACAATCAACTTGAAAGTGCCTTTTTTTGTAATTGGAATGTTTAGAAGTGGAGAATTTGTCCAAAGTTTAGCAATATCCAGCATAATGATACGAAAAAATATCTAAGTTCAAGTTTTGTTCAGAGGTCACTAGGTCAGTTACATATAGCAGAGAAATCGGAAATTTTGGAGTTGGGGAAAGTCAAGGCATGGGAAAATAAAGAAATTACATAAACCTTGTGTTAATTTTTGTGACTCTGAGAATCTACCAAAAAAGAAAAAAATATAACTCCAATATGTCAAACTTATGTTACAGAAAGAAGAAAACATCCAGAGCTCTGGTAATTCCACAAGAGTTCAATAGAAGTGCCTCGGTTCCGGGAGAAAGACCTTCACGTGGAGTGAATGTCAGAATCAACACTGGCCATTTTAATAATGCATCCCATGTCTCCTTCAACACTCCAACACTAACCAACTCTGTCAAATTGGCAAATCACATCAATGATGAGAGGTATGTTTTTAACTCTTAATGTCACTCTTTCGTGTTAACTTAATTGTTTGTTTTATTAGTTGATCCTGATTATTCACATTTCATTATTACGATACCATAGGTACATCTTGATTTTCTATCCACATTAATAATGTTGTCATACTAGAAATCTGTGAGAAATTGAGCATAATGTCAAAATTCTAACTAGCGTAAAATTTTTGGGGTCAATAATTTTTTGTGTCAACAACTTTTCATCCGATCCACCAAGCAATTTTTATCACCGTCACAGAATAAACATGGGCCAGTGCCTAAAAATTAGCATTTTTTCTCCTTTCAAAAAACAGAAACAATAGCTGTATTCAAACTAAATAATTTTAAATAAAGTTTTATTTCAATTAGAAAGTAATTTTATAAAAGAAGCTCCATTGGAATTGGGCAAACAATTTTCCTTCCTGAACAACACAGATTCCTAGAAACAAAAAGAAATGTACAGGTTGTTAATTTTAAATACATATCTTGATCTCTTTAGTTTTGTATATTGTGTAGCTCTGCTAGTATATTCTTGATGCATCTAAAATTTCATCCGTACATCCGTTTTTGAGTGAAGACTTACTAAATATCACACATAAACCTCGTTCAAGCTAATGCCATTCTTATTCTTTAGTTATCTATTTTTTCTCATTTACTCATTCTGAGATAGTTTCATGAATCTGAAGAGCGAAAAATCGCAGCACAGATATTTTTGCCCCTCTTGTTAATTTTATTTTCAAGTTTGTATGTAGTGCAAAAAGCTCTTTGCACATTGCAAGAATATTGCATGCTTGTCTTTTAAGGATCAAATGAACGATTTTCTGCTCAGAAAATGTAGTGTTTGATAATTATAAAATGAAATATTCAATGGTAATTAATCTTTGCCCTGGCCATACGCTGTTCTCAGTCTGTGGTCTCATAGACAATCTTTTTCCCATCTTTGCATAAAAAAGTTTACTTTTGTGAGTAACCTACTAAATCACTTTTAGAAAAAACTAGAATTTAACGTTACTCATCCGTACAAGAGCGTACAATCACAGGAATAATTTTTCTCTAATGCTGAGATGTGTGCAAATTTATCCTTTCTGCATTATTGTGGCTAAGGTGGCAACTATCCAATGAAAATTGGACCTAAAAAAATCATAGTCTATCATTATTTTATCCTAGATTTTGCACACAATTCGTCATCATTTCCTGCGATTCTAATCAACTCCTCTCTCCGTAGTTATAATTATCTTCTTTCAAGTTGTCGCTGCTGTGCAAAAATGCTGATACTATAATAATTAAATTATGGACTGAAGTTGGAAAGAGTTTTAAGTTTGCACAAATTATTTCCTGTTTTCTTTTTTTCATTGGAAAATAATAATTTTCATCTGTTTTTAGTGTGTGCATCCCCTAATATTTTGGCTTGTAATTTTTTATTTTTTACCGTCAGCTTAGCATGTCAAGAAATCATTTCCACAATGAGTAAAGTAAAAAAAATACTTATGTACAACTTTAACTATCACCACTAAATATTTATTTCTATACATCAACTACATGCTTATTATTTCTGAAGTTTTTCAAAAATATGTAGAAGTTGTTTGCATCACTCTATGTATAGGAGCGTTAATGCAAGTATGATTTATAACTTGCACTCATGTAACTAATTTTTGTATTGGTTTTTTCAGAGCCCTATTTTCTGCATCAAAGTTATGTCTAGAGATCCGTCCACCCCCTTCCCTCTTCCACCGGGAATATTTTCATGAGCATTTTCATTTAATGTTGCCTGCACTAGTTTATTTTAAACATAAGGGAAGAAATCCATCAATTTTTTTATTTATGCCTAGCTCTTGTCACATGATCAAACCATGCCATCAATATATTAAGGTCAAGTGCTGTAATTGGTCATTGTGATCGAATCAGCCAATCATAATATCTGACCTTGAAGATTTGATGGCTCGATTTGATCGTTTGACATCAGCTCTTTACTTTCTAAACATTTTTTTAGAGAGAGTGATCCTCTGTTAATTGGTTAATTTGTGTCCATTAGTTTTAACAAACTTTACTTTTCGAAATTCCTAGACCATTTTACCATCATTTTCTTGTCAAAATGCTTATCAAAATTTTCATTTTTTACTTCCTCCAAGTTTGGAGCTGCAGTTTTTGTCTACTTTGACATGTTTTGGCAACTTAATGGGTGTTCATTCAAGTCCCTCACTAATTATTTTTGATATGAAGAAGCCATAATGTTTGTGCTTAATGAAAAAATCGGCCCGCATCGATGATTTTGAATCGCACAATGCATGATGGCTCTTTCAGATAATTTTTGAATTTTCATTCTTCACTAGATACCTTTTCAATCGTGTTCATGTATCTTCTGTTAAAAGTTAAACTAGTCAACACACGTTGGTCTGCCTCCATGTTAGGAGTTGAGCCCGGTTAGATTTTTAGTGCTTATTCTAATTATTGTCTCTAATATTGGACTTTTTGGGAATAATCCTCATTTTTTCTGGCAAACTTTAACTGCTTTAGAAAAGCAAGAGGATATTTCCAGAGTCAGCGCTAAACAATCTTCCCAGCGCCAATTTTTAGCTTTTTAGCAAATCAAGGTAAATCTTTTTTATTTACCGGTGTTATTAAAATACTTGGATTGTAGGCATTTTTTAATAAGCTCTATCACCTAAGGCATTTCTTTGCAGAAATAGGACAGTTAATTTGAGTGTTTTTTACTGTAATTGCTTGCTGTTACTAACAAAAACTAACTTAAGCAAGGTGTGTGGTTGATTTAACAGTTGCTGGCCTAGCACTAAATCACATCCGATCTCAACTCACAAAAATCGCTCCTCAACTTCTCCATTTCTTGCGCCGATAACCATGCCTCCTGCTTGGCAGTCATACAACAGGTAACTTTTCAATTATTTATTTTTCTTTCTTCCAATATCTGTAAGAATTTACTTCACCAAGAAATAGAATCAAAATCATTTTGCTCAGTTACAGAATCAAAATCATTTTGTTCAGTTACTAATAGAAATGCTCCCAATTGCAGAATCTTGAAAGCTTTGTTACTCTGCAAATAGAAATTCATTTTTTTTTCTTACATTCTGACCAGATATTACCTCCAACCTAAAATATAACCCAAATTATTCAATAGTTATTCAAAGATAAGCTCCTCAAGGCTACTCTTGATTAGCAAACACGCCTTATCGATTTTATTCAGAATAATATATACAAATTTCATATTGTTTGGAGGTACTTTAACCTATCAATGCTTCAAAACAATCCATAGACACAATGTTTTCTAAATTTTTACACAGGAGTGATATACTGTAATTAATTCTTAGAAATGTAATAATATCCTAATAACTCATCTAGTTTCATCGGCACTTCTGACATTTAGAATCACCTTGCACTTTATTTTCTTTAGATTTTTTCACCGTTTCTTTCCTTTGAGAAACACTATTTTATAGCAAGATTAAAAATGATTGAAAAATTGATTCCTGAGTTATTTCCAGTTCCTGAAAATCTTACAAAATTCTTGGTGGGGCTTTTACGATAATATCCATTAAAAATTTGAATCTCTAAACCATGTTTACTAGCTTTGTTCATTCTCAATCTCCCAAACAATACTTTGTGTGAACTTTGACGAGGCGTTGACTCCTCTCAGCACTTCTGAAAGAACGAGATTATGAAATTACGCATAATATAAATTTTATCAAATTTATGAAATATACCAAGTATAGTTTGACTTAGCCTATCAACTTTCATTTTTCGTCTCATATTTTATCCTACCTCCATTATTATTTAAAAAAACACCATCAAGATTTGCCTCCAATTTTGTATCGATTAATTTCAAGTAGAATCATTGGCATCTAATAGTTTGAGACTTGAAACAGTTGGTTCCCCAATTCGAAGCTTTTTTAATTGAATGATTAATGAATTATTTTTTTTTCAGTTTGGCAACAGTTACTTGTGATACTGAAACTGATGGAAGCAACATTACAAGACGCAGCTCCTCTGGTGGTCTCCTGTCCCCAGACGTTGATATCGGAGGTCCAAATAATGTACCTGAACAAGATGGGTTTTACCTCTTAAAAAAGGATTCGCAAAGACGCATGACTCTGTCTAGAATTTTAACACAAGATGAAGAAAATATTTGTCATGAGTGGTTAAAGTGTGTCCGTGGAGATCTGGGAAACACCGTACTTACTGTGGTAAGTACATCTGATATCCATCATTGGCATTGTTGTTGCTATTTTTCTACTAATGCTCTAAAGGAATGCTGGAAGACGGCCCGAAATCTAAACTTAAATCTACATTTATGTAGTCGGAGCACATGTGTGTGAGGAACACGGAGATAAAGCAAAAACCAGTATCAAAAGCAAATAAAAACCTAGAATGGATCATTATGTCTTTCAGCATATGGACAGCGTTTACCATAACACTGATTTGTTTTATTCAAACTGATTTGAAACAATAATTGCCCACTCTTCAGTGGTTCACATAACATTGGTATTTGCAAGAGGTATTTTTTGGTATTTATTTTCTCCTTTGAGGGTATGAATCCTAGTGCCAAAAACACTGTAAATTGAGGTTTTTGCCTAGCCTCTTACCAGAGCATTTTGCAAAACTTTTGGTGCAGAAAACATCCAAAACTGAAATCAAACCATAGCTACAGCAGACTGAGGTTTGCCTTCAAAAGCAGTTTTGAATTAACTTATCTAAAGTTTTTATCTGACGATGCTTGCAACTCAAAATTTTGGATCATCATTTATTGCAAAATCAATTTTAAGATGAACAAAAGAAAGACCAAAGCTAAGATCATCCATGCTGTCATCAGATAAACATAACTTTATTTCTTTACTAAAGCGTTACAGTTTATTAAGAAATGTCAACTACATCAAGTACATACTTGTGTAAAAGATGAGTTCTTTCCAGACTTTTTGTGAAGAGACCCAGAAGTAACTTAAAATTCTCACACTTTCACGATCCCATTATTTAATTGAATCAAGGATTTGCACACAGCACTGAGAAAATTATATGCTCTGTTAGTTCGTAGTTAGAGTGATCAGTTTTCATATACCTTTTCCATTCATAGTTTCATGAAGCCCTTCTCCACATTTGATTTCAGAGTCACTTGAAGATTTTATTAAGGGGTCTGAGAACTTATATCACCGATCAAGATCAATCTGAAGTTGAATCTGCCCTCCATGTTCTGAAAGAGGAATTGGAGTTTGATTCTTTGGCGATAAATCAGCTGCAATTTGCTATCTACTTATTTCAGGAAGCTGTAAGTATTTTTGTTTTTTCTATTTATGAGCCTGAAGGTCATGGTTCTTAACAGTTGATTATGGGTAGAAATATGGTTATTTTCAAAAGTGGTAGCATGGGATTTAAAATTGAAAAATTACCGTAAAGTGATGGTAAATTAGAATATTAGTTTCGAATCTATGGTAAATGGCTCGTGCAAAGTTCACCAGTATTTCACAAATAAGCCAAAAATCATGAACATTTTTTCATAATAGTCTGTGTGATAATTCAAGAAAATGCTGACCTGGGAGCATTTCAGTGCAAGAAGTCCAATTTTCAAGGAATTCCCACTAGCTGGACTGGTTCCTTGAATATGTGCCTTATAACTGGTTCATTTGTCCGTAAGTAATCAGTGATTTTGGTTTGTCATCAAATTTTTCAGTGAAATTAATTCTTTTGTTGAGAACATTAGTTTTTTTTTAGTTGCTTAATGTGGTGCAATAAATGAGTGAGTTAAAGCTTGGCCTAGTTTCTAAACCTCGCAACCATTAAATTATTTACCATCATTATTTTCTCCTTTTCTCTCCCTTTCTTTAAGCTTTATTTTAATATTCTGTTGTTTTAGGTGAAAGTAGTTCTGAAATTGCATAGTGTAAAACCTCATTGGATGTTTGCTTTAGACAATTTAGTACGGAGTGCAGTTCAAGCTGCCATAACTGTTTTATCGCCAGGTAATTCAATTATATTTTTCAATATACTTAATTTGATTTGGATAGCATACCTATTTCTAACTTGTTGATTTTTTAAAAGTATTTCTGCCGTTTGAAAATTTATCAAATTTTTTTTTTCACAATATTAAACCTAAATGTCTCAATTATGTTTTCATCGTAAGAAATATATTAAAAGCTATGTTTATCAAAAATCCAATCAGAAGTTGTCTTTATTGTAGTATATAAGTTATCGAGTTTTAAGTTTCATTTTGAATTTGAAAGGTTTTGTAAATAACTAAAAAATTTATTTCAGCTTCTGCAATACTCTTTATGAAATTAAACAAATTTACTCATATGAGAGGTATCAAATTCTTGTAGTCTAAAAACTTACATTCTCTGCAAAACATGATGAATTTTGATGTATTGATTGGGAAATTAAGTGGGGAAACTTAATTAATTCAAATTTATTTTTGAGTACAGAATTAGGAGCCAATCTAGTCGGGCATGATCAAAGGGAAGCTGAAGTAGTGAGCGGAATACCGCAAAGTACAGGATCTCCGTCTCTTGTTTCTGTGAATTCCATCAAATCAACCAAAACCAACGAAGACAGCTTTGCAGGCTCTCTAAAATCAAGGCACGAAGACCGCGATCAAATTAACATATTGAAGTTAGAAAATAATAGGTATGGATTTTATTTTTCATCACGTTTTTCCCTTCAATGTTTGAAAAGAGAGGCTTTTCCAAAATGTTGTAAAATCATTATTGCACACACTGTAATTGTGATAAACTCTCATTTATGCAACGTTTCAAAATTTCCGCCGCCATTTTATTTTTTTGCAGATAATTTGTTGGTTGAATCTGTTCGAAAATTTCACTGAATATTATTGGCAGCTCACAGGAAATTTAGTGAAATTTTCGGACAGCTTCACTGAACAATTTCTCTGTGAAGAAAAAAATCATGTCAGAAATTTTTAAACGTCGTAAGGCGCTTGTGATACTTTGGTCGGAAGGTGCCGATGTCATCTATAAATGATACTTGTATTTATGTATCCTGTGCTTCTATGCTGTCTACGCACAATATTTCAGAACTTTTGTAATGGATCAGTGTTTCAGAATTCCATAATTGGCTGTCACTTATATCAACATTGACTGAAATCAGCATAATTTAGAAATTTTGTCCTCGCATTTCGGGTTATGTGTTGGAAATTCCATTGTTGTTATTGTAAAAATTCAGGGTGAAAACTGAGACGATTAAGGATTTCCTTTTCATTAAAAATCTTATAAATAGTTTACTAATCAGTAGGTCTAATAATCAGTAGTAATATGTCTCGATGTTGAATCCCTGAAAAGAAAAGTCTCCACCATCACTGAAATGCTCAGTCATGGAAAACTCTTATTTGCCTCTGCTTAAAGTTAACGGAACATCTCAAAGAATTTCATCAATTTTCCTCAATTTGATTTTAATGATAGTTTAACTAAATTTTTTTATCTCAGGTTAACAGAAGAGGTATTGGAAAACTTAAGGCTGGGGAATAAGCTTTTGGAAAGGCTTTTGGATGACCAACAACTTCATTTTAAACTCCTGAAACAGATGAGAGAGGAGCAAGCCTCGTGCAGTCATTCTGCGAGTGTGAAATCAGACCCTTTTGATCCCATCTGGATTTCTGACACTCATGAAACTGTTTTCAATGATTCTGCAAAGGAAAATTTAGTTCAATGGTTAGAATCTCTTAGTATTGAGGAAGAGTCCATTAACAAGGTGCGTAAAAAATCATGTATTATCGTTTGACATAAACTGTTTTTGTTTGTACATAGTTTTGCCCTCTCTTTACTGACCCAGCTAACTTAAGTCATTTTCTAATTATAGTGAAAATATTCTTGTCACAAATAGGAGAGAGATTATTTCCAAGAATATGAGGATTTTTTTGAGGAAAAATTATTAAGACCGACCAAAAAAAATGAATAATTCCCACTAGTTTTTCCTACTAGTGCTAAAACCCTAGGAAAAGAAAATGCGTACGCAGTTTAAGTCGTGCTTTAGCACATTAATGTTTCTGTTTTATTTTTTAAATTAATGCACTTATTACTTCATGTGTATTTTTGACAACTTGAGCAGACTAAAGTCATGTTTAAGAATAATAATTTTCAAAAAATGTGTTTTTCTTCTAGCCATTTATGAAATTAATCATCCGTCTCTAATTTATTATTTCATTTATATCAAATATTTTTCAATTTCTTTTCAGTTTTTAAGGGAAAAATTTATACTAGAGGATATTCTTTGTATTGCAACTCGTGAAGACATCCGGAGACTCAATTTAAGGTAAAGCAAAATTCAAATTTTCATTTCATCTGTGACATTAGCATAAAGATATGTCATCAAGTATTTAAACGGGTAGTCAGATGTTTCAATTTTAAGTTTGAATCACCTTGTTTAAAGGGGACGAATATGTCAAAAACTAGTCGGGTGATATTGATGGATGGAATTAAATGATGAATGGAGGTGGAATCTGTTGCACAGTTGGCCGAACCGCAGAGCAGCTGCGATGGTTTTTAGAAGTGGATGCTGCACCAGTGTAGGTTTCTTTACCGTGTTTGAGGCATCCCTCTGTATTCTGCACTATCTTGTTTTTCTTTTTGTTTGGCTTAACAGTCAGTGGCATGGGGTGCAGTGTGATGGGGCAACTGCTTATAGTGACTCAAGTATAGGAAGGTTCTTTTGCCAGCATCTTAGTCAGTTTTGCAAATTTCAACACTGGATTTGAGAGTTTTATCTAGTTTGTTGGCATATGTTCTAAATTTGATGGAAGGAACAGAATTGTAGAGTAACACAAAAATGCAGAAAGTTCTTAAGAATGCCATTTTTCAATTAGGCCTCCTCATTTTATAAATCCCTTTGCCCTGAAAAATTTCAAGAAAGAATCTTTGTTTTTCTCGCAACATGCATATAGCTACTTCAAGAAAAATATGCTTTTTTCACCTTTGTTTTTCGGTAATTACGCAATTTTAAGCCATTGCGGCATCGCGCACTTGCCTTTCCATTTTTGCACAAGACCAACTGAGACCTGCCTGTTGCGTAATCGAAAAGTTTGTGTACACCTGGAATAATTCTACATCCACTCTTTTCTAAGAATAATTGGACATATTTCTACCAAACAGAACTAAGTGCATTAAAACATGAGCCCTGAGACCCATAAGAATATATGCATAACAGGGCTCACGTCATAATGCACATAGTTCCGTTTGACAGAAATACGTCCAATTCAGAGTCAGAAGGACCAACTATGAATAATTTTGCGGAGAGTAATGGCAGAACCTTCATTAGAGAAAATAAAAGAACAAATTAAATTATCTATAAGAATTTGATTGGCTAGCATAATATGTTGGATAAGCCTCTCTCTTGAAAATCAAAATTTTTGCAGTTGAGTTATATTTCATTTTCTTTCTCAGATCTGTTTCTCATTTTTTTTTTATTGAATTTCCAGAGGAGGTGAAGAATTACGTGTGTGGAGAGCTATAATGAAATTTCGTCTGGAAAGGAGGTCGGCATCTTCATCCCTGAGTCTGCAAGAGCATGATGGTCCAATCTCAAATTTCTCCAACCCAAGGTCTTAAAAATAAATTCAAGCAATGTCTTACATCTAAAACACACACAATTTCTCGGAGCATTTTAAAATATTTTGCTATTGATGAATAAAATACAACAGAACGAACATTAGAATACTCCAATTACTTTTCTCAAATATTTTGTGAGGAAGAGTAATTTTTTTTAAAATTGTCCATTGTTTTTTTTTTTGTAAAATTGTATCTAGTGCCAAATTAGCCCTTACCAATGCTTTTTATTGTAACAACCATTTAATATTACCACCTATAACCATCTATTATTATCGTAGCCAGTAAGTTCTTTAACTTGAACCGTCTTACTGAGAAGTGAAAACACTGAAATGATCCATTTCTATTTCCTCGTGCCTTATTAGTTTTTACGATTTCACTCAAGAAATTGCTTGATAGCTGTACGTATAGCTTTAATCTAAAATAATCGTTATCTGTGTTCAATTCTATTTTTGTTAATTAATCTAAATCAATAACACGGTTTTTTTTTTATCAATCAAACAATCAACTATTTTTGTAAAACATTTTTTATTTTGAACTTTATTAATACTTTTTTAAATATTTTTTCATTGCTTTTCTAGGATTCTATAACTCAAGCATGAAAAAGTGTGCCTTTTCTCGGAAAATTGTTTGTAAAATTTCCACTCATCAATTTTTTCATAACTTACCAAATGTTCTTATTGTCATATTCTGCCTGAAATAGATCTGATTATACCTAAGTTTTGAATTTCTATCAATTTTAAGTTTTCCGTTTAAAATTTGCACTAAAAATATTTAGGCCATTTTTAAAAAAAGGAATACTAGGATTTGTTTGCCTTTTTTTTTAAAAAAATCAAATTTTTGATTTTTTTCTCTTTTGGTATAATCACCTTTGTTTTGCACTTGGGAAAACCTTTAATGAACCATCAGTTACCTTGAAGCTGTTTTCCATGAACCCTTATTTTGATAAAGCTGTTTTTTGTTGACCAATTTTGTTGTAGAGTAGAAGTAATGTCAAAGCTTGTTATTCTCTATTATCGTTAACAATAGTTATTTTACATCTGGAGAACACCAGCGGAAGAGGAGGTCAGAGAGCAAGTTCATTAGACATTGAAAATAAACTCTGGCGCACTAACATCATGAAATCTATATTATATTGTTTTAACAACCATTATGGATCTACAAAATATCAAGTGTAATTTTATTGGAAACCTTTAAAGATTTTTCAAAATTCTCCTTATTTTAATTTCCTCCTCTCTACTAGGTGAGCTCATTTCTCAGTAAGCCCCTTCTCCACCAGTGTCCTCTTCGTTTTTAGTCTTGGCTCGAAAATACCACTAATTCACGAGAACCAGAGCTCCATTCAGCCCCTCTCGTCCAAAGCAAAAAAGAAAATACTCTATTTACATCGTTGAAAGTTGGATTCAACAAATACTAGTAAAATGGACGAAATAGTAAAGGACTACATCATTGAAGCTTCAATCAGGAATCAAAGTTTTCCAATAATGTCAAACCATTTAAACACAAATTATATGAAGACCTCTATTTTTATTAAGTTAAGTTGTTTAATTATATCTCTATAGATCAGTAACCTTCATCAACCTCGGTTCAAATATAAATATTGATCCAAATATTACTCCCGAATTTGGTTCATACAAACTGTCAATTTTGCTGTAAACTGTTAAGTATCAGTATGTTCCATCGGATTCATAATGTTCCCGCAATGTTTGGCTAAAAAAATTCATTGTATAAAAACAATATCTGCAGAAATATATCAAGAAACCAACACTTAGGAATAAGTAGCCTCTTCCAAAGCCTTTTTTCAGATTTTCTCATTGTTTTCAAGTAAATTTCGAGATGAAATATTATTTTTATTTTAATGTTTTAAGATGCATAGCGTTATGCCTCTTCTTTGTTTGGTCAGTGTACCTGGTTACCTTAGTGCGAGGAGATAAGAGGAACAAACAAATGAGTTACAGTATCAGTGGACCTGAGTTATGTTTTCTTTTTTCAGGATTTTTTATCTCTAGAAATCAAATGGGTACTAATATTTCTTTCACAGCTTATTTCCTTAATGGGGTCATACTCAAAAACTTTCTATTTAGTAGAGTTTCTTTCTTTTCCATATTAGAAAGAATGCGATATTTGTTAAAATAACCTTCTCTCAGAACTGCTGATGTGTATATGAAAAAAAAATTTCGAAAAGAAGAGGAAGGTATCCGTCAGTTTTACGTAGTTTCTTAGCGATTCCTACTTTTAATACTTTTTAGAAATATGAAGTGCCATTCATAATCGTTGTTATTATATATCAATAGGTCATGATTAAAAAATGTATAACTCGATCTGTACCATGGCAAATGTCCCTTTATGCCTTTATGTTTTAGTAGAATACTGACTAGCAGTTTTCTTGAAATTTTCTGTGAATTTTTCTCCCTGATTTAATATTTGTAAAAAATTTTAAGCACATGTTTTGGTTAATTTTTTTAAAAAAAAGTTAAACATAATGGAGATTTTTAATTGTTGCAATGGAGTTACTAATTTTTCAAAATCGGCCATCGATATGCAAGCTTGTAGCTTTTTGCTGACAGCAGTACTGATAGGCTTCCTTGATAAGCTCACAGTAACAGCAACTTGCAGCAGTTGTCAGTAACTGTAGGCTAATTTTGTCCAGCATTATTGTTTCTCTCTTTCTCCTCAGAACTAGTCATCTCAAGTTAAATTACTTGCCTAGTTTAACTTTTTTGTCCTCTCTATGTGATATCTAGTGCCTCAGGCAATGTATGCTTGTCAATTCTTGTATTTTTTTGTTCATTTATCTGTCAACTAATTTCATTCATCGAGTGCCTTGAAAATCAATGCTGTTTATACGCTGTTGAGTTTAGTTGACAAATGTCTGTTCTTGTAAATTGTATCGCTTGGTGCTAAAACTGTTTTAATCTCAGCTCATGTAACGCTTCCATTCACTCTGTGAGAATAAAGTTCAGATTTTATTGAAAATCAAGTACATAGTATCGCTTGTTATTTACAATACTAATGGAGGAATGGAACATCAGACGTCTTTTTCCCTTCTCACAATTGATACAACATGGTCGCTTTCAGTTGGTCTCGGTCCATATGATGGACATAAGCATGAAGGAAATCAAATGTATTTCATGTCTTCCCCATTTGAGTTCTGCAAAAATACCCATCATTTAGATCTACATGAAAACCTAATTAATACCCATAATAAATGACACATTTTATTATATGTCATATCTTCATTTTCAATATTGGGAGAAAAAGAAAATAAAAAACTATTTTATAAAAAAGAAAAAATTTATCATTCTTAAAAAAAAGAAAAAATCTTACATTTACATTCAAAATTACAAGGGAGCGAGTGAGGCTCACTGGACATGGGGGCACTGTTTCCATTTGTACAAAATCAAGGTTACAAGTATAATTTGAGACCAAAAGTGAAAATTTAATTTTTGTTTTTTTCTTACCCCCCCCCCCTCTTTCATTTTGCAGAATGCACCAGGTTTTTTTCATTGAATACGCATATTGATGCACTCAAACCTTATATTTGATGTTTGCTCCCTTCAACTTTGCTCTGGCTTACCAAGGATTCAATTTTATTAATTTACGTTTAGTCACTGTGAAATTCAAATTCTAACGAAAAAAAATGACTTCCAAACTCATCAAGCTCGTTCCTAGGGGCCTAAAATAAAACAAGGATACTAGCATCCCCCTCCTTATGTCAGAGAACAACAGAATCTGAAAAAAATTACTCATATAATTAAAATTCAAAATTACTGACTTTTTTTGTTGCATGAGCCGCTTGCTTTCAGTTTCTTACTCATGATTGGTAAAGAAAAATATCACAAACTCTAAAATATGCAATCATGTTAACACTTGACTAAGATTGAAGTAGGTTTTATCAAACGTTCAGTGCAATGAGAAACCTGGGAGGGAATATACAACTTGATTATTTGAAAATTTCTTCATGATACATGAAATGGGAGTAATTGTAAAAAATGAAAACAACACTCCCAAAATACTTTTTCAGTGATTTAAAGCATATAGATGACTTTTTTGTTGTTGTGTCCTTAGCATGAACACAGAGACTATCCAACTCATAAAGTAGAAAAGTTAACATGAACAGCTGGACTGAATTCTGTCGTAAATTAGGTAAACAGTGATTAAGATGTCATTTTAACCATATCATGGAGGCAACTGATTTAAATTTTTAAAAGCTATCCAGTCTTAACTTTCCTTCATTCTGAACCAAGTACATTAGATCACTTAGAACTTGTTCACAAATCGATTCTTCTGATTTTTCATGCATCTGAAATAAGAAAGAAAATGAATGATTTAAGAGAATTGATTAGAATAGAAAAAAAAAGAAAATTCAGGAAGAATTAAAACATTATTTGGTTGAAATGTGGAGAGTTCCTACCCTAAAAATAGGTAGAAGATGATTTTGCATGGGGTAATTGCCAGGCAATACTGCCCTGCTTCGTGTTAAAGAAAGATGATAAACGTGAGCCTCCACAAGATACCATGTAATCGAGCCGACGTTGAAGTAGGTATCTTTGAAAGTCTCTTCTTCATTTTGTATTGTGAGTTATCTCGTTGCGATACTCAGTATACCACAATGAAACCAACTTCAGATACCGAAGTTTTCTTCATTTTAATTTTTCAATTTGAGAACCGTTACGCCCAGAGGTACATTTTCCCTGTCTGTCACCGAAAATTTCCCATTGACGTGCTAAAGTAACAAGGCTGAAACTACCCAAATTTGAAATAAAGAATTTATTCAGATCAATAGTACCGAGTTTCACGAAACTCGAACGAACAGAAACCGAGATATCATTTTAGGCCACGAATTTTCAAAAATCGACTAATTATTCGAGTTTCCCGTCGAAAACTACTCCGCGACACCGAATTTCAGAAAAATCCATCGAACAGGAGCCGAGATAGCATTTCAAGCCACGTCTGTCATCTTGGATTTGAGAATTTTCAAAAATGGACTAAAAATTCGAGTTTCCCGTTGAAAAATACCATCTGACACCGAATTTCAGAAAAATCTATCGAACAGGAGCCGAGATAGCATTTTAAGCCACGTCCGTCATTTGGGATTTTCGAAAGTGGAAAATCTGACTTAAAACGCGTGGTACCCAAAATCGAAGCTCAGATTCGGATTCCTCGTTAAAAATCGATGCAATTTCATGTATCATACTCGAGCATAGCGTGAAGGAAAGAGACGTAACGTAGGCATACTGATTCGAGCATATGAATGCAACGTGGCAACATGGGTAGTGCTCAGTGGGTCAGCGGAGGAGGAAGAAGAATTTATCGTGAGGAATTCCTCGCGACGAAACCGAACGCTTAGCCGGCGCTTAAGTGGCGCCTCCCCGTTCGGTTTCACTCGGGCGACAGGCGGCGGCGGCGTAGTTCAAAGAGGAAGTACGACAGAATCTATACGTGTCGTTGAACCTTTTTCCTTCACGCTATTCTAACATTTGATACATGAAATCTCATCAATTTTTCACGAGGAATCCGAATCTGAGCTTAGATTTTGGATATTACGCGTTTTAATCTATTAAAAATCGTAGAAGAAATTACAGAATTGTCCTTGAAAATTGATCACACATTAGTGTTATTTTTACGTCATTAAACCTCTTTCCTTCACGCTATTCAAACATATGATACATGAAATTTCATCAATTTTTCACGAGAAATCCGAATCTGAGCTTAGATTTTGGATATTACGCGTTTTAATCTATTTAAATTCGTAGAAGAAATTACAGAATTGTCCTTGAAAATTGATCACACATTAGTGTTTTTTTACGTCATTAAACCTCTTTCCTTCACGCTATTCTAACATATGATGCATGAAACCGCATTAGTTTTTCACGAGGAATCCGAATCTGAGCTTAGATTTTGGATATTACGCGTTTTAATCTATTTGAAATCGTAGGAGAAATTACAGAATTGTCCTTGAAAATTGATCACACATTAGTGTTTTTTTACCCCGTTTTTCTTCTGCGTTCACGTAATGAAATTAGACCAACAGTTGACTCATCGACTAGTCAAGCCTAATCCCCCAGAATCGGTCTAAAGGGCGATCGATTTTATTAGATAAGATGTGCGGTCCTAGTTTCCGGGCAATTGCGATTTGATGGCAGCTGCGATGAGGAGAAACGGAAGATATGCGAAACTCGGGCGGGTATTAAGTGAAAAACCAGGAAGAGGAAAGCCTTTCTTCCCGAAAAGTTTGTGCTCGGGCCAACTTATGCCGTCACTGGAGCATTGTGTAGGAGGTTGCGGGAAACTATTGTTTTGCAGCAACCAGGCCCGCCACAAGGGGGGGGGGAGTACTGGGTCCCTGGTACCGGGGCCCCGTGCTGCCCGTGAAAAACCACTCGAATTCAAATGTAACCCTTGTTTCGTAAGGAAAAGTGAAAAATGTACCCTAAAAATTTCGCAAAAGGTGAATAAATTTTCAAAAACTCGCAGGGGCACTGTAGAATTCTTCTTTAATTTTCAAAGAAGTATACCTCTTGGAAAAATTCTATCTCTTTTCAAGATTTTCAGTACAGAAGAATATTTTAGTAACTGTGTTTCATTTTCTTCCGTTGTCTGGGCATCCTCGATTTCAATGGCTCATGGCTTAACTCCCTTGCCGTAGAAAAATGAAGGGGGAGTCCAGGGGGGCCTGGCCCCCTTAGAATTGAAAATCGTATCGTATGCCCCCCTCTAAAAAAAATAAAAATTTTCCAGATGTTTTGAATGCAACAATTCGCAAGTATTTTGTGCTGAAAGTAGAAAAAAAAAGCGTAACTATTCCGCAGGAATTGTTGGAAAAATTCGTCATGGAAGCTTCAAAATGCGTCCCAATAGATTTATAAATTCAAAAATTTCTCGGGGGATGCCCCTTGGACCCCCTTTCCCCCGTGCTTGGGGCCCAGGCCTTAAAACTGGAACCCGAGCCCGAGATGAGATGTGGCGGGCCTGCCTGCTAGGCAAGAAAGCTATTCTCAGATATGTTATCCCAGAACAATGCAAATATATTTTATGTCTGTATAATTAGTTACTTCTGTAACTTCAGAAATCTGTAGAAGAATCCTGAGGTTTTCGCTTGCTTTTGCGAGCAGGAGAATGTTGGTCCAGCAACATTCAAAAAGTGATATCAACTAAAACTAATCTAAAAAATATATTCTTTGAAAAATAATTCACTGGAAAAATCTAATTTTTTTAGCATTAAAATCTGAGTTTGAACTTTTCTTCTGTTTTTGCAATTTTGAAATTTTAAACATGTATTTCTTGAAATAGCAAAAACTCACTCGTATGCCTTGTCCTCCAAGCCCCTCAAAGATCATTTCTGAGAAAAGCCATGACAAGATTGTTCTTTCTTGATAAATGTTGTAAAGAGTTACATATTAGACTCTTTGCTATCTAGGTGACCGATAGAATACAAGTTATGCGTATTACATAACTGCATGATACACAAGCACCATATCAGACAGGCATTTAGTGAAAACGTCACTTAGTAGTATTTTTTCTTAAACAGAACCATTATTATTAGAGAGCAACAGAAACAAGTACTTACCCCTCGATAGCTGTACTGTTCTTTGGGAGGAGGATGTTCAAAATCAGGACCAAAATTTACTACGACTGAGCATGACTTGTACAGTGATACGGCTGGATAGTACGCTCCTGCATAAATATCTAAAAATGCATCCCCTTGACACTGTCCATTTTTAAAGAACACAATTTTGCTGCCTTGCAGGGGATGTAGTTGTTTTAAAGTTTCGGCTACTTGGTCTTTCTCTTCATAGTACAGATGACTTCGGAACTTTACAAGAGGCTGAAAAAAAAATGTTGACACAACATATATTTAGAATAACTTGGCAAAAAGGAAAATTTCAGGAAAAGATACATAGACCCGGAAAATGCCCGAGAGGGCGGTGCTGTTGGCATCTAAATGAAATGAGTTAAAAAAAAAGTATTTTACTTTAATACTTATTAACTAATATGAATATATTTTTATCTATCCTATTTTTCTTTGGGACTGAACACACGAATTTATTTTAATATTTAATTGTTTCTCTTACTTTTTACTTTTTTAAATTTTTTTCCGCAGTTGATAATGGTTACGGTCACCAACTGAGATGTCCTGTGTTGATTTGTCGTTTGAGCCTCGTTTTCCATATTTTCATTGCTGTTTTTATCCTGTCATGTTTTCGGGATACATACTTTTACTATTTCTGATATTTCTCAATCTTTACGTACATAAATAAACATGCTAATAATAAAAACAAAAGAAAAAGATACGATTGCAGTAGAAATCTCTCTTGCATGGTGGACTCGAATTTTTAAGTGAAAAAATAAGCCAGTTGCCAAAACTAATCAATTAATTTGTCTCAAAGACTGAATATGAATAGACTGACAATCAGATTGTATGTAAATCACATCAGTCAGGTCAAAAATGCAGTTAGATTTTGAGTTCTTTGCTCCACAAATGAAACAAAAATAAAGACACTGTTACCAATCCCTACGCATGAGTCTGAGGAATTATTTTAAGAGTACTAAAAATAGAGAGTATTTGTTATTATTAATACAAAAAGAAAAGCAGTAATAATTTGAAAAGGTATGAATAGGATTTGCCAACCTTCAATTTGGAGTATGGGCAGTCCTGTTTTCCCTTTAGTAATGGACAAATTTTAAATTTAAAAAAAAAAAAAAAAAAGATAAAAACTAAATTGATTCAAATAAATACTTACCCTGTCTTTATAGGTGGGAGGCAAATAACTCGTGCTTTCTTCTTCTGGAAGTATAATTAGAAAACCTAGTACATCGTTCACTCCATATCCTGGACTATAATGTTTTCCGCGTCCTTCATGAAACCTGGTGCCTTTCCTAAACATGTAATGACAAATGGCATTGACTTAGAAATTATACTAGAGTAAATGAGCACAAACTATAAATAATCCTTGCCTTTTGGTAGCGATTAATTGAGATTTTACGGATATTTTCCATCCATACTGTTGCATTTCCCCTCAAAAATATGTCACAACTTAAACCAAACAAAAATTAAGTTCTTTTCGTCAAGATTAAATGATATTTAAAGATGAATTGCATGATTCTTTGGTAAGTTATAAGGTACCAAGAACATTGTTTTCCTTACTCAATCAGAACTAAAAGATAACAGTACTTACCTTGATCGCCACGAGTAACCAAATTTATCGTAACCTAGCGGAGCTTGTAGATTGGCATATTCTTGTCCCCATCCAATCCTGGTAGCCGAACCTTCTGGCATTTCTTGGATGGTCGCTTCATAATACCATACGCCTCTGTTCACACCTACAAAAATAATGAGTTATTGTTTTAAAAATACATATCATGCTTCTGTTTTTTTCCTCTTTAATTTTTTTAGTTCTTTTACTCTTTCCTCCCTACTGAATATAAAAGGGGAAAAAAACCGGCATTATTTTATTTTCCGTACGTATTCCATGCCAGTTTATTTGATTCCAAAAGCCAAATGAACCGGTGCAAACGATGAAACTGTTGAATGTTTTCAAATTTACATTTTACTAAACGTAAAAAAAAATAAAATATGTGATCAAGATGGCGAGAAGTTCTCGGATTCTTTACTTTTTTGTGATTAAAAGGTCTTGTTAAACAAAGATTTGTATTTTTTCCTTTAAAAATAATCCAGCCATTGAATTCAGCATGATAAACGGAGAAAATAAATCTACATGGTAGAGTCTTATTCTAGTGACGGATTTTTGAGAGAAAAGTTTTGACAATGGTTAGTCTGTTGTACTCACAATGAGTTGCTCTAATCATACAGTATCCTTTTTCACCAGTGACCTTTAATCGGTTGTCAGCCACTCGTAATTGTGGTGCACGATCGTGCAATGCCAAGAATACTTTATTTGGAGCTAAAGTACGGTACAGCCAACCAGGAATTGGCTTCCCAGCTGATTCGCTTGATTCATCGAACTCCTATGGAAAAAGATGACAGGAAAAAGTTAAGAAAAGACCACTAGAAAGATTACAGGCTAAAAATCAAGAAAGTTTTGAAGAAATTAGGTTGACTGGTTTTCCGAGGAAAAAATAAAGCATGACTGGTGGTCTACAATGTCACAAACATAGATATGTGGTCTCGCACCATATCAATACATGTTTCTCATCAAAATTTCATGTAAAATACCATAAAATCAACTATTAAAGAAATAACAAAGGCTCTACAGATCTGACATAGGGACAGTACTGCATCTCTGTAGGAAAACATGTTTAAAAATGCTACATTTTTCAATTCTCGGTCTTGCGCTCCTCAAAATTGGAATTAATAAAATTTTATTTTTAAAACCGTATTGAGCTAAGGAGATAGTAAAAAACACATAGGCATCTAATACAATCTAGACCGTGCATTAACCTTGCCTTCTGGCTGGTAACGTAAGAGTAAGACAGCTAGGAAGATCTAAACGCTCTTCCACGTAAACCGCTTCAACCTAGTAAACTTCAAGTAGGCTCTGCATCTGTTTTCCTTAAGGTTGTTGCTGATTCCCCAAATTTTCCAGAACTACATGCAATCCAGATTACTTACCTATCGTCTCATCAAAAGAGCTGTATACACTATCTAGATTGAGTCATATGTTGATGGTTTCACATGTAGGGTCTTTTGGACTTGAGATGCATATTATTGCATATTCTAATTAAGTCATGTTTGTATTCTGCTGCAAGTTGATTGTATCTTACTTTGCATCACTGAGCAACTGGAGAAATATGAGGAAATACAGCTAATTAGTTTTGGGGCTTACTTGACGAAACGGTGCGTGAGGATCTGGCTCTGCAAGAATATATCTGTAGCCATCTTTATTGTACGGGTGTTCCAGAGGGTAACCGTGAGCAGGTAATTTGGGAGCATTGACGTCTCCAGCGAGTCTACCTTTTTTCCCCCCACCCTGTCCAGTGTCTGCTAGTTTCCGTTTGCCACCTCTGCCTTTCATGCCACCTCCACCTGAAGGGCATCAAGAAAAAAAGATGAATCACTGTAATGGAATTTCACTCAGAATAACACCTACATTCAAATATCTAAAAGAGTCAAAATTAGTAATTACATCACACAAAACAAACCTTACAATGTTAGTCAAAAACTAAGGGGAGGGAAAAATGTGAGAGGAGTGGGGACCTTTCAGTCCAATTGAGATAAAGAAGTTTGTTTCAAATTCTAGATAAGATTAGACACTTATCAAATAGTGATCACTTAACTTTTGATAAAAGGAATTAATGGGCACATGAAAACTCTGAAAGAAATGAAATTTTGATAAACTGTGATTTCATGGATTCAATTTAATCAATCAATGAAAAATAAAAACAAATGCAATCCATCCTTCCTCCTCCAAGGCTTTCATTTTTCAAAATGTCATGAGTCTCCGACTGCATCGCAGTAATTATTTCGGTCGCTGCCTGCTTTTTGTCTCCAGATCATGCAAGAGAATGCTACAAAACAAGTACGTTTCCATTTTTCATTAAACAGACTTGACTTCCTCTTATTTTTCATAATTTATAAAAGATAAGTTGATAATTCTTATTTTTCTCTTCTCTGTTCCCCAAATCAGTCACACTTTGATTTGCTTTTTTATTACACTCTGAACTAATATTAATTTCTCATTTTCGAATCTAAACATTTTTGCGCTTTCTTGGTGAGTTTTTTCAGAAACCTGGAGGAAAAGGTCAAATAAAGTAATTGCTTGAATATCAGCTTGCACTTAATCATGAGAAGGAGCCCATGACGCAATTACATTCAAAATTACATTTGATTTTTTCAACATACTTAACAAAATAATAGAAGAAAAACCTGCGTATATGACTGAAACACACCTGGGGTGACACCTCCGCCTTTCGTTTTGATTTCATCATAGCTGGGTCTGATTTGGGTTAAATCTGGCACAACTAGACTGTACAGAGGGCCGTCCTCTGATGAGTCCTCTTCAGCGTTAAAAAGTAGCTTTGTTTCTTTCATAAGACATTTCAAAATCTACAGAAATAAGGAAGAGAAAAATTAGATTAAGGCAAGTAAACTTGGCAAGTAACTTTTGCAGGCTCTAGGTAATTACAAATTTAATCTTTTCGATCCTCTGAAAATGTGGAATATGATCATCAACCGGAAAAGGAACTTTTGAAAATAGAGACAAAAAAAAAAAAAAACCGTAAAAAAAATGTATAAAATGAAAACAGCATTCAAACACGCACTGTCAGTGTAGCATTATTAAAAAATTACATTAAAATCAGATCGTTGTATTCAAGCACCCTGTTCCTCATTTTTAACTGTTGTTAATGTCACTAGCAAACGACTGACATTATCTTTTTCATGGTGACCCATTGATTTACTCCATATTGTTGCCCTGCTTATTGTTCTTTGTATTGTCATTGTCAGTGGTATGGAACAATTCAATGCAATCATGAACACAACGAGTTTGGTTAGAATAAATTCAGTATGAACTAATATTAATTGAGCTTATAAAATTTGCAAAAAAGCATTATTTGCATTTGAATAGATTCTAATTTGCAAAAATTCTTCGCACCTCCTTTTTTTAATTTTCTTACTATCAATTTAATATGCAACTGGCAGGGTTGTATTACGGCGACTGTAGAAAGTTCGTAAATCCAAGAATTTTTTGGATATCTTTTCTTCGCCATCAATATATTACGCAACTGTCGTGGATCATGCGATGCAAATTGCAGTAAATACAGAGAAAAATTAAAAATTTTACAATACCGTTGAATGCCAAGACTGTGTAACTCGACGAGCAATGGTGGTCATGCCTTCCCAATGAGCTTCGATGAAAGGTATAATATCTCGGTCTTTTGAGAATTTTACCCGAGGGTTTCCTTCTTTAACACTAGCTTGCATCATATTTGCTATAGCGGTGACACACATTTGTGGAAACACTGAAAATAAAGATGGAATAATGAAGGTTCAAAAAGTTTAGGTTGTGGTACACAAAATGTATCAGCATTGAAATCTTGAGGTAATCAATGGGATACGCTTAGAGACTTGGTGCTAAATTGTAAGTTGTGCCTTTAAATAGTACGATCCCGCTGGTTTGAATGCTGCAAGTCCTCCTGACCTCCAAAGGACGGATTCCTTTTTACACCTGAATTCAGCTTTATATTGAATTTTAGAGTAAATGATAGCTGGCGACAGTGCAAGAAATCGATTGAAAATTAGCTTCAAGTGAAAAACATGGCGAGAAATCACACGAAATTTATAGTAATACTTACAAGCTTGTGTTTTTCTGAAGCTTTCAAGCCCTGTAGGAGAACAGTTTTTGCACACAAACGTGTAATTCATCATAAAAGGAACAATTTTTCCTAGCTGATATCCAATACAAGATTCATGGTACCATCTGTTACAATGGACACACAACAGCTCGATAATGTTTAAATTTCGCTCCTTGCCACTGAAACATAAAGAGAACATGCCGATAAAGAACCAAACTGGAAACTTCAAAGAGGAAAAGCAAAGAGACAATCATATGAAGAATAGAATGCGTTGATTAAGGAAGACAAGAAAATCATCAAAAGCCATGGGATCTACCCTTATTCATTGAAACATTTCTAGATAGGAATTGAAAGGTGACTTGATTTGTTCCAGTGTTGAAAGTTTAAATATTGTGATTCGTCAATTGAGAAAAGAACCAGCCGAGTTTTGACACTGGTGAAAAAGTTGGGCAATTAGTTACGTCCCAAGAACTTTAAATAAATGGATATTTGATTGTTTGATGAAATAATATTTTTGGCAAAAAGCAAAGTTACTGCATTTTTGTTTTTAAATTTTCTCCTTTTTACTAAGTTTTTTTTGGGCTATTCACTCAAGTTTATGCTTTTAAGTAGTATCCAGTTTTTCTTTTGTTTATATTTTGTTTGTTTGTTGAGTGACTCGAAATTTGAATAAATTGCATTGAATATTTCTATCGGATCCCTTTTCTGAAAAATAACCTGAATAAAACTAGCTATTAATAATCCATCTAAATGGTGGTGACATGCAGAACCACAAACCGTGGATACATTTTAAGGTCAGGGTTTGTCGCAGAGTTCTAAGTAATCTGCTACCGTAGTAGTTTCTGAAAAATCATTAAACTGTAACTTGAAATAAGTCCAGCATCTGAGAAAAATCTGAATGGGTGAAATACTGTCAAAGCTGAGAGCCATCTATAAGCTAAAAATTTTTGGATAAATTGCACATAAAATGCCAAACAACAGGAAGAGGGAGAAAAAAATTTTGAAGTTAAAGAATTCATTACCAGTAGCAGTTACCGTCCCGCTCTTCAGTCTTTGCATCTTCTGAAGTGTTGCAACCGGAGGACTTTTTTTCTACACTGTCTTTTTCTTCTTGAGAGGCAGTCATTGATGATTCAATCCCAGAGGAGCCTTTAGCAGCTGCACTTTCACTAGATTTTTCTGAGTCTGATTTAGTTACTGCTGGATTCTCATTTTCAGCCTTGGATGCTGATTTTTCTGTTTTCTTCTGACTACTGCAAAAAAAAGAATAAGAAATTAACAAATATTGTTTGGATATTCAGGACACAAAGGCAGCAAAATTCCAAGTTAAATTAACAGAGCAACAGAATTGTGAATAATTGTCAAAGAAATCAAGATTGACTCCCCATCATTCGTTCCCCCATTTCATGCCCGTCTTAAAAAAACCCATTCGATTGCGGCACAGAATCTATCATACATACTGACAGTGAAACTACCAGACCAAGTACCTCCACTTGCAATGTAGCAAACTTCCTGCCATATTTTATTTTGTAATGGGAAACTTCTTAACGTCAATTCTTGAAAACTTCCATGATTACTCTTCGCAGTGTAAATAAAACTCTGTGAAAACTTCAAGGAATAGAATTAATTTGTTCTACGTCAAAAAACTAAATGCGAGTGGAGATTTTTGAACACTGCAAACCAGATACATGGTCTGGTATTTTCACCGTCGGTATGTGAGCAACCTTAAAATTATTGCTGACATAAATTGGAATAGATTTAAGGAAAAAACTGAGCTCCTTAAAACCCTCACAATAAAAACATCATTTGTCTAGTGATAATTGCCTTTACATTTCAGGGTTTTGCGTTGAATTTTATGAAAGCAGATTAAATACAGGCAGCAAATAAGGGGTGAACTTTAACAGGAGGTGAGACAGAAGACTTCGGCTTTCATCCTTAAGAGAACAGATCCGCACAAATTTTATCCCATCCGACGAAACAGAGGAAAAACATTGTCAAAGATTGATCACTAGGAAAAATACACCAGAAAGCAGAAGTCATAATACGCCTTTCATTCCACAGATACAAAGGGCCAAACAGCCCTCAGTACAGAAAGCGCAAAGCCCTTTCACCTGCGTTCATGTGCCGTATTTGATCTGCTTTCTCCGTATCAATAAAATAACTGATACCAAGCTCATGAGAAACTCTTGGACGGAGTTCAAATGGCATTGCATCTGCTGGTGTGAGGTGCTAACTATAGTGTAAGAAATAAAAAAATGTAGCGTACCTCTCATCTTCGTTCCCTGAGGCCATGGTGATGACCGATAAAATTTAAAGTATCAATACAAGCTGTGAGCAAGCATTGATGCAGTTTGGACTTAGAAATTATGTAATTTTTTATTGATTCACTTGCCGGCCACCGTACAATTTAGAAAACTAAGTAAAACTAGATTTTTGCAGACGATAATCGCAGATATTATTACCTTATCACAACAAAGTTTTGAGGTTATAAACAAACTTCTCGCGGGCAATGGTCGATCAAAGAGAAAACCAGAGCCATGATTCGCATTACAGGCTGCGTGGCACCTCTTTCTTGGTGATGNATACACCTTTCATTCCACAGATACAAAGGGCCAAACAGCCCTCAGTACAGAAAACGCAAAGCCCTTTCACCTGCGTTCATGTGCCGTATTTGATCTGCTTTTTCCGTATCAATAAAATAACTGATACCAAGCTCATGAGAAACTCTTGGATGGAGTTCAAATGGCATTGCATCTGCTGGTGTGAGGTGCTAACTATAGTATAAGAAATAAAAAAATGTAGCGTACCTCTCATCTTCGTTCCCTGAGGCCATGGTGATGACCGATAAAATTTAAAGTATCAATACAAGCTGTGAGCAAGCATTGATGCAGTTTGGACTTGGAAATTATGTAATTTTTTATTGATTCACTTGCCGGCCACCGTACAATTTAGAAAACTAAGTAAAACTAGATTTTTGCAGACGATAATCGCAGATATTATTACCTTATCACAAAGTTTTGAGGTTATAAACAAACTTCTCGCGGGCAATGGTCGATCAAAGAGAAAACCAGAGCCATGATTCGCATTACAGGCTGCGTGGCACCTCTTTCTTATGGTGATGAAGCAAATCGTCTCTTATTGGCTGACGGCTTCCGCCAATGTCTTCGATTGGTTGGTGCCCAGATGTTTTATCCCAATGGATAACATTTATGTAAGTTTTATTCTTTTGCGAAAACTAAAAAACGAAGCAAATTGCATGAGTCGAAAACGTCAAAAATAGATTTTCAGGAGAGATGGTTCAAAAAACAATCGCCGAGGGGATATTTGGGACTCTCAAAGCTTCCTGTCTTCAAAGGAGGATTCGGGAGTTTCCCTAGTCCTAAAGGCGGGTCCAAGGCATAAGTGCAAGTCAAAAAACACCGATTTTTTTTTAATTTCAAAGGTGCCCGGGGGAAGGGGGGGGGTAATCGATGCCGCTTTTACGATTTTCGTCAAAAATCCACATAATGCTTTGTTTTGCGGGACCGTTCATAAAATACGTGACCCTAAATTTGGCATTTTCGACCTCTTCTCCCCCCCTCTTGTAGCGATTTTGTGACGTAAGTACCCTTACTTCAACACGTAAAAACCAAGTGGTTACCACTTGGTCGGTTACCAGTGGTTACCACTGTGGTTACCAGGGTCGGATTAAGGGGGTGGCCACATGGGCCGCGGCCCATGGCGGCAAATCTACAGAGGGCGGCAAATTTTGCAATTTTTTTAAATGTAGGTATAAAAAAAATCGTATTTAGAAAAAAAATCACAAACGAGAGAAGGCGGCATTATCTCTCATTTCCTGAGAGTATAATAATTTCTAATTTTGTCGTCTTTCAGGAATGCAAGAGACAGCACCTTTAATTATTCAAGTTAAGAGAGAAACCAAATAGTTATAACACGCAATTTGGCCCGGAACGGCGCGACTTAGAGAGAAATGATGAAAAGGACTTGAGATGAAATGGAGAAGCCCTCGGCGCGGCCATCGATTATAAAAGGCTATAAGAAATTGTGTAGAAATTCGTGTGCTTTGGAAATCATTAAGTTTGATACGGAACCACCTTAATATTTACAAAACACACGTTATATTTTCCTTTAATACCTACATATTTTTTTCATCAATTAAAACGAGAATAATCCATAAAGGATGTGCAAACATTTCAAAATCATGAGTTGAAAAACGCTGACTCCGCCAGATTAAATATTAGAGCCTAACACCAAAGCGGAGCGGCGACGCACTGGCGCCTACAAACCTAACAGGGATACTTCACGCATTGCGCAACGCGTGAAGTATCCCTGTTAGGTTTGTAGGCGCCAATGCGCGTTTCACGCTGGCTACCCGCCTGCCGCACCGCAGCGTGCCACGGTGCTTGAAGCAACTATTTCACACCAGAGGTATTGCACAGTATCATACGAAACTGAAGGCGCTCTAATATATTAGGAATGACAGGCATCCTTCAAAAGTACGGAGCTTCCTTCGCAAGATAAATTAAGATACTACGGCCCAAAAAGAGAGCAGTGGTCCAAAAACTCACTAAGTTCTAGCATCCGTAATTAGTGACGTGAAGCATACACTTCATCGCCTGGCTGTGAGTTGTTTAGTCGCCATCGGCTATAAAAGGCTATGAGAAATTGTGTAGCCGGCTATATAGAAGCTATACCTATTGGAAATCTCACAGCCGGCCGTAGGTCTATGGTATTTTGGAACACAGATTCTACTGCCAATTTTTACCAGGGGGCACTTACGTGTCATCACTCTTCATCAACCAGTCATTTAAAGTATTCACATTACTCACTAAAATCCAGTTTGCTACAGCGAAAGGGCTGGGAAAAAAGGCATTTTCATGAGTAATCGACCCCAAGGTATCCGAATTTGAGAGCCCCGTGGCCCCCAAATTTTTCTTCAATGCGGAACAGGAGGGACCCTGATCTTGTAAATTTAACCAGTAGGGAGTAGGGACCCCCCAATCGCACTCATTTCAAATCGCGTTTTTCGCCGATCAAAGTTACAGACATAGAGAAAATGTGTGCCACTAAAGATCTAAAAATCTATAGTGTGGTTGAACAAGAGCAATTTTCCAAATAAGAATGCGTCAATCGCATTTCGACGGTGTAAGTCGGCAATCACATAACTCGGTTTGCGACGTCGCAGACTTCCTGTCATACTTTATTTTTTAAACGGAAAACTGCTCAACGGCAATTCTTTGAAACTGCCGTGATTTTTCCTCTCTGTGCGAAGGAAGTTCTGAAAAAACTCCAAGGAATGATGTCAATTTGTTCTCCTTTAAAAAAATAACATAAAGGCGGAGATTTTCAGACACCGCAAACGAGATATGTGATTTCGGACTTATACGCCGTCGATTTGTCGGCACGCCTTCTTTTCTGCGCTGCGTTAAAGTCTCTGAAGTGATTTCTGGATTTTGCTGTTTTGGCGATCCCTCGTGTGGTTCAGCATGATCTTTTAAGGTGCAGAATCTTCAGTAATAATGTCTCCAGGCGTCGAGCAACTGCCGTTTACGGCACACATACTTTTCTGTGCTGGCGTTAAAGTCTCTGAAGTGGCATGCCTTTGTGCTTCGCGTGCCACTTCGATCGGCGAAAAACGCGATTTGCCTTTGCATATACAGACTGACAATACGATTTTCTCGGGGAAACTAGTCCCCCTCCCCCACCTCCCTCACTTTCGAAGTGTCTGGATCCACCTATGGAAAACCTTTCATGCGACTTTAACGAATACTCATAATTTTTAGCTCCAAAAAATATCCCTTCTAGCCACAAACGATTCCGATAATTTTTTTCGGCCCACCCTGTAGTACAGTATCAATTAACGATTTAGTCATTATCCTAACAGGTGTTGCAAGATTTCTTTTTGAAATTTCGTGTGAAATTTCTCGATCAAAAACAAACATTATTGATCCAATGAAAAAAGTAAAATGTCAGGAGAAAATCTGTATTGTTGCGATGTAGTGAACCTTCTTTAGCTTTCTTCAGGTGAATCTTATGTTTTGTTCTTAATCACTATAGGTAGGTAATTCTAGCTTATCCATGAGTTCCATAAGGCAAGAGCGAATGCACTCGGTGCTTTGTTGTGCAACAGTGCAAGATGTTTTCGCTGGCCGTGGCAGCGGAGGTCAAGAAACTGGACGAATTATAAGCAGAATTGACGATTCTCTCGCCGCCGGTTGGAAATCTTGTGAAGGCAACGGTTCTGAAAATTGTCAACAAACCAATGGCAGAGTCACATTACGGTCTCATCGCTGATGAAATGGGGCTTTCGTCTCTAGAGGTTTTATCTTGAGTTAAAACTCTTTTTGGAATCGTTCTTCCAGACATCTATGTTTAGGATCATCTCGGAGGTTTACAAAATAAGTCTAGGTCTTATCTCTCGGGTAAAAAAAAATATCCTCCTGTGACTTTTTGCCAGAAAATTTAACCTCTCCCCGCCGCAGGGGATCAAAGTTCCGTGAGAAACAATTTTAATCGTTTTTCTCTCAACCGATTAAGATTTCTAACATGGATGGTGGAAAACCTGATAGCAGCAGTATTTAATTAAGGGGCTTGAAAGTCAAATGGGATAAATGGAGTTTTTGAAAAGAAAGATTATTATAATGATTGCAAGTGAGACCAGTCTTAAAATAAATTCTGTGAAAAATTCACTGCTGAAATCCAATTGTTAAGCATGAAAAAGTGAGCTTTAACTTCCGTTCCGCCATAAGACTTCACATAATTTTAAAACCTCAACACTTAGGTATCTCTTGAAATAGCAGAAACTGCATTGATCCCACTTGTGTTTCAAGTCCCTTATTTCATAAATACCGGTTCGGTAGCCATTTTGTCACGACTATGGGATACAATTTTAAGCCAGAGGAATCCTCCAGTTTTGATGAAGAAAATCCAATTAATTCTATGAAAATGTCCATGTCCATGGTGGGTTGTATTTTCATGTAGAATCGAAAGTATTGAGGCAGAGCCAAGCGAAACAAATTGTTTTGCCCAATAAACCGATTCCTATAAGTGGCAAAAATAATGATTTTACAGAAAATGTTTTCCTTCAAAATTTCAACATTTTTAATCTCTTTTTGGGGTTTGGTCTTTATGGAGATAATAATAATAGTTGTTTTAAAGGAAATTGAATTGATTCTTCAATTATTCATACTACCACAAGTTCTAAAACTCCAATTGCATTGTTGAATCGTTAGATATCGAATATCCTCGATCGATATATTGCGAAGATAGAGATTTATTATGATCAAGCTCATTCGATAACGATTCAATCGACCCGTAGCACTTTTTTTGGTGACCGCGCTAACGAACTGTTCACATTTCTGTGCAATTTCGTCCAAATATAAGCCGATTATCTCAGCATGGGTGTCAGTTGTTGTCCGGGAGGGCAACCCAGATGGAAAGGACCCCTTCATATGTATGAACCTCATGAGCTCATGTCATGATACCTCCGATGTCGTGAAAGAAAACTCACCTGTTTTATCCCTCGTGCCATCGGAAAAATTTACTCCTGGAGCTCTGTCAGGAAAATGCGAGGGAATTTCTGCATACCTCGGAATTCGAAGGGTGAGCGAATGGTCGTGTTTAGCAAAAAGAATTAGCTTAGCTTTCTCGAAAGTTTAATGATTAGCTTGTCAAAAATATATGTAGTTCTGTGGAAGATGCTACATTAGCGCTCATAAAAATCACTTTCATGGTATCAACAATTTAAATTATGAATGCCTCATAGATTAGGTAACTATTCTTGTATTTGATAGGAAGGATTTCAAATTTGGTCACTGAATGACTATTCATTTTGTATGTCTCGTCAGTTAGTCGATTTCCACCAGAGAGTTAGATTAAACTGCAGAAGGAAACCGTTATCAGTCACGGTGCTTTTGTCTTCGCAAGAAGAAGGAGACTCACTCCATGAAAAGAAATCAGGTGCGAATTGGTGTTCGTGTCATGGAGAGCTCCGCAAACTAAATAAATTTTTGGAATTCTCATTTTTGATCAGACCGTCAATATTTTCATCAATATCTTGGTCATTCAGTCAATGAAAACCGGAAATGACGACGCATCATTCCTTTTCCGGCAATATTCGGCAGCCCGCTGAATATCGATAGACTGGTCATTACGTCATTTCCGGTTTATATACTGACTGCGCGACTTCGAAGTATTTACAGAAATATTGATATAAAGAGCAAGGCTCCTGTCTTTGAAATTACTTGGCCCCCCTCCACTGGAAATCACTCGTTTGCAGATCGTTATGACGTCATGCAAGATTGCCTGATCGAGAACCTACTGTATTCTTGCACACATCGGCAACGCTGATTTCTAGTCACTCGATTCATCGGCGGAAAACTAAATCAGCGAATTTTATACCCGAGGGCACTTAAAAGGTCTTTGACGCATGGATGAAAACTTCTCGCCTCAAACAGCTTAGCCGGAAAATTACATAATTTTCGCTGACGTCCGAGACGTGACGACGTAGCTGTAGCGTGCGCCGTCTGCGTCGCGTCATGACGCGTCCGAGGATGCGGTGGCATTGACCTCCCAAGTTCGTTGCGCCGAAACCGAAGACAAACCAATGTTTACTCATTTACTCTCTGGAAAACCTGACCGCCGCCGCGGCAAATGACGGCAGGAAACTCGGAAATAATAAGAGGAAATCCTCTGCTCGTGCGAGGGTGTCAAACTTCCGTGATTACCGCCAATCTAACTGGGTTCGCGTAGCTTGAGCGGTTTTTGTTAAGGCAGACACAATGCTGCCGTGCTAAGGAAAAACGCCGTATGAACCTTCAGCCGTTGCCAAATTTGCTTTGATAACACGCGAATTTCCTGGTAAATTTACGAATATTTTCCTCCCAATTTTTCAGATACTTTAGTTCGCAATTTTACCTAAAGATTCTGAAAATATGAAGGGAAAATATTTATAACTTTCCTGAAAAATAAATATTTTATCGAATGAAATTTGGCAACTCTAGAATGTTCATACGGCGTTCTTCCTCAGCACGGCAGACTGGGCAACTATTCACGCATCAGTGAGGTAAATTAAATACGTTGGTAAATGAAGGCATTTTGTTGTGCGTAGCAAGAACTACTAATCCAAGTAGGGCTATATTTGGAATTGAGTGATTTTTGCTCTGGAAAATATAATGGACTACTATTTGCTCATCAGTGTCGTAAATTGCATACTTCGTTAAATGCAGGCATTTTGTTGTGCGTAGCAGGAACTACGAATCCAAGAAGGGCTGTGTTTGGAGTTGAGTGGTTTTTGCTGAGGCAGGCGCAATAGGCAACTATCCGCGCATATGCGTCGTGGATTGCATACTTTCTAAAACGAAGGCGTATTATTTTGCGTAGCATAACTGCTGGTTTAGGGTCCAGGTAGGGATTCGGTTTGGTGAGTATGCTCACTGCATCTGCGGTATGAATATTAAAAACCGATGAATCATAATGTAATATTAAATGATTAATAAAATCAACGGAGGAGGAATAGATGAAAATGTGATAAATATACAATACAAAAGTGGTGTAAAATCATTCATATCACTCAAATACTCACGAGGGAAATGATTTATCTGAATGAGTGAAGGATCGAAAATGGGTTGCGGCGGGGAACGGATTTGGCTTGAGATAACATTATATTGCGTATATAAACTAATGACTTGATGAGCCGCAAATTCGACGAGAAGCGATGGTGGCATGTCGGAACTCGCTTCCGCACGCAAAATATTCGGGCAATTCTCTATCATCTACTATATTCAGAATGTTTCTCCAAAATAAACCACTAAGCACTGGAAAAAAAACACATTGGATCTAGAGTCCAGACTCTTGGAAACATTGACAAGAACAAATACTCTTGATTCAATCGGATTTTTGCTTGAATCAAAACGAAATCCACTTAAATTAAGGGCTTGGTTCTTGATTTTAGCTAGATTCTGATTGAATCAAGAGTACTTTTTCTTGTCGATGTTTTTAAGAGTCTGGACTCTAGATCCAATGTGTTTTTTTTCCAGTGAGGAGGGTTCTACCCACATTTACGAGAAGGTAACTCATGGCAGTTTGAGGATAACATTTTGGAGGATGAGTGATTTCAGAACGTTTTCCTGTTTTCTTGTATCAGTCAAGCTGCCAAAAAAAATAAGAAAAATAGGTCAACATTTTTCAAGAAGAGCGTCATTTTTTAGAGAATTTTCTTGGTGAAGCCTTACCAATGGGAGGATCTGGGGAACACATGCAGCTCAAAAACATGGCCCGGAGGGGGAGGGGGAGGGCTTTCTTACGTACACAACAGTGGCGTGGCGTGAATTGCGATCTATCGATTGTAATGCCATTTAAACCTATGGTAAAGAATCAGTTATTAAGGTGTTCGCTGCGAACACCTGTCTATCGATCCTTTTCCATGGGTTTAAATGGCATAAAAATCGATATATCGCAAAGCATGCCACGCCACTGGTACATAAGGAGTCCGAGACGCTTCGTCAAGAATATGTTGAAGAATCAAGTCGTCCTAGAAGTAATTTTGAGCTGTACCATTACCGAAAAATTCATTGTAAAATACAATTTCAAAAACTGAATAAAAAATATCACAAACCCAACTTTACCCCTGGCTGATTTTGGCGCCAGATACAAGAGTAGTTGCAGTAGCCGCCAAAGGTATGGTTGATCCGACCACACTTTCGGTGGTAGACTCAACCGTAACTCTGACAGGTTCAACTACTCTTATATCTGGCGTCAAAATCAGCCAGGAGTAAAGTTGGGATTGTGATAATTTTTTTCCGTGAAGAAGAAAACTATGTCACAGCCTTGTTACTTATGAAAATCCCTCTAATTTTCGGGGATAGGCCGAATATATTTCCAAGGGAGTTTGGAGGTCGGAATCCCCCAAACTCCCTTAGACTTTATATTTCTGCTATGCGGGTTCTGACTATTTCGTCACCGATCAGCTGTCTAATCTCAATCAGTGCTGACAACATGGCACCATGAGATAGGAACAAGAGGCTTTCCATCTTGATACGTTGAGTGTTTGTAAACAGCCGGAATGTTTATGCATCTGCAATTTTGAGTTTTGACCTCGGAGCTACTCTGGCCGAGGTTACAACTTCACTCTTTAAAGTCAAATTCATCTCGCCGGGGCTTCACTTGTGTAGTGATTCGCAAAGGATTTTCCTCGCTCTTGGAAGTAAGTCTCATTTTATCTCTCTTTGAAACAGAAATATGATTATTCGTTCACTTGTGCTTACTCATAAACCACTAGCAAAGGCCCAGAACCACATACTTCCAAATATGGTTTTTTTCTTCTTTTTTTAAAATCAGTATTTCACGGTGTTCAGAATGGACGAATAAGTACTGGAAATTTCCACTTGCAATTTGTCCACTTGGATCCAACCTAAAACTTAACTAATTTCTGTGTACGTGCTTTTCGATGAGATAATTTTATCAGTGTGCTCAACAACAATTGTAATGGAGTCAGCAATCCGATTTTGGATCAGAAATACAAATTTCCAGTTTTCAGTACTAAAATTTGCCTACGTAATACTTTTAAGAACATTGGGTCAAAATTTCAATCCATAATTTGCATTCATATGCAGCAAAAATGTTCTGAAGTTTCACTTCATACTTCATTCTGTTATTCAATAACGATCGCATGTTATACATTAAAAACCTCGGAAATTTTCATCAAATCACTGAGAAAATTCATAAAAAAAATTTAAAAGAGGTGCAACTGTTCTTAAGTAAATAAATGAAGTGTCGAATGAAACTTTGCAAAATTGTAATGCAATTAAGCCCCTCCGGTTCTCATCCTTCCTGTTAATGTTCCCTAAATCAGCCGCTTCAAAAGTTCGGCTAGCCAAAAAACCCATGTCTTCTCCGATAAAATTGGACGTATTTATGCTGGAGGGAAAAAGAACTCGAAATAAGTAAATAAATAGAACCTTGTAAATGGGATTTGCGTGCTTCACAGCAGTGGCGAGGCGTGAATAATCGACTATCGATATTTCCCCATTTGAAACTTTAGTAAATGATCGATTATTAAGGTGTTCGTTGCGAACACCCTGTATATCGATCCTTTTTCATAGGTTCAAATGGCAGATCAATCAATGTATCGCAACGCACACCACGCCACTGCTTCATAGTTTCCTTTGATTTAATTTATGCGAATTAAGTTTTTTTTATTCGATTTATGTATAGATAAAGTTACCTTTCGGCTCGTATACGGCTGAAGTATTATTGAAGGATACGATTAACCGTCATGATAGGATTTTTCATGAATTTCAAAGGTTCAATTTGTGTCTAAAGATAGGCCACTCTTTAATTTTTTGGATTTTTAAAATCTAGTTCAATAGTCTCAAAATTGTTCCTGTTAAAAGTGAATCTAAAATTGTTCGTTTAAATCAGGCGGATATAGTAGTCATGCACATTTACTTCGGGGCATTACCACTCGACCTTTACAACTAGTCTTTTACTATTGCTATGTTGTAATATATGTGTGCAATTCATTTGAAAAAGAAGGCGTTGTCTAGTAATCTTGTAATACGAGCATACTGATCAACACTATTTCTCAACAATACATAATTAGAGAAGACGAATTTTGCTGTGGAGTAGAAAATTTTGAATTCGGAACTAGAGACTAAAAGTTTTCCGTCATTTCTGCGGAGGAAATCTTCATAAGTACCTGGTAGGGCTCATTCTGTGGTGAAGATACTTTTGCGCCTTCATTCCGATAGTCAGGCAAAAATACCTACGCATCGGAAAAGTCGAGTGCTCAAGAGATTACCATAAAGAGTGTGAGTCTCGTTGTATCTTGATTCGTGTAAGAACTGACAATAATTATTAGTATTATTATTATTCAATATTAGTAAAAAGTCGGTAACATTCAGTCGGGGCTCGCGTTTGTGGTTTCCGAGTGACAGAACTAATAAAAGTTTATTATTTTTCTTTTTTCAGGAAGTGCACTTGCAGGCAACATGCGCAGTTTCCTCTTGTTGAGCCTATTAGGCCTTCTCGCCTTCAGGTGAGTTTCTCTCTCTTCCATTTTTCTCTGATCCTTCCACTCTCCAAAAAGGACAAGCGAGAAAAAAGAAAAAGTATTAACAAGTCTAAAGAGGGCCGCGGAGTCCTTCTTTATTTTTGTGTTGGCTGGTGTTAGACGGTTGAAAATTAAAGATTAGCAAAAAAATAGGATCCCTCTAACTAAATACAGTTTTTCACTTATATTTACACGTTTCCCCTTGTGTTTTAAGAATTATTTTTTTCGAATGCAGTTTTAATATCAGTATCGAATGCTATATTTTCCCTCTAAAACAACCACGCCTTTACTACATTGAATTTGTTTGTCAAAATTGGTATGTGAATCCTTCAGTCTCCCGACAGCAGAATTGCGATCTCAAAATTAGCTGGGAAAATGGAACCAATCGATGCGATATATTGCATGTCCCTCTGCACGGAGAAAAAAACTTCGTGCGTGGGACCCGAAGTTGAGGTCATATGGATCTCTGAAGTTTTCGGATCACGCATCTAAAAACTTGAGGTCGAGCTGCCGAAGTTCGGGTCAGACATCTGATGTACTTCGATGTATACCGAAGGGTTCGGGCCACACATCTGAAGTACTCCGGTACGTACGGAAGTGCCTCAATGTCTGACCCGAACTTCGGCAGCTCGACCTCAAGTTTTCGGATGCGTGATCAGAAAACTTCAGAGATCCATATGACCTCATTTCGGGTCCCATGCACGAAGTTTTTTTCTTTGTGTGACACAAAATGAATCAGTGAGTTCGAAAACACACTATAACTCGGAAAAAAAATTGTTTAGGAAACACCTAAAACTGTGCAGCGGGCGAAGAAGTTAGTTTAAGAAAAACCTTTTTGGTGCCAAAGGACAAGTACTTAGAGACTTTGTAAAGCACCAGGTTGAAATTGATACACCATGCTTAATGACAGAGAATTAAGCGTTTAAAAATTTCCGAGTTGGTATGTTTTCGTTCTCACCGAATTTCAGATACTGATTTTTCATAGTCTGCCCTGAAAAATTTATATTTTTCGACCTGAATAACGCTTGAATATTTATATAACTTGTTGGTACAAGGTATACTGAACCAAAAAAAGAAAACCGCGAAATCGGATGGTCACCCGTTTCCCTTGAAATGGCCAAAAATTGATTTTTCCAATAAAATACTTCGATTCTTCCCTCTTCTTGTCGCTGTTTCGAGCACTTCCGATTGCAATTTCGAAATTTCCTTTTACGTGCAGATGCTTCTATCCATAAGTGTTACTAAACCGTAAAAAAGTGAAAATCGAAAAAAAAACCTGAGTTGGTGTGTTTTCGAACTCGCACTGATTCAAATATTGCGTCCATCGCATTATCTTAAGACTTTATACTTGCTAATATTACTCTACATTGTAAATTGTAACAAATTTGTGCGTGTGGGTGTTTCAGCATGGCGGACGACGACTACGAGGTGCCGGAAGACATGGTTGAGGAGGCGGAAGGAGCAGTGGAGGAGAGCGAGGAGGCGGCGGCCTCTGTGGCGAACGAGGTGGGGCCGAAGCCGGAGGCACCGACAGCGCCCACGTTCGGGGGTCTGGGGGCTTTTGGCGCCCTGGGGCTCGGCGGCGGGAACTGCGACTGTGGCGTCTTCCTCACCGGTTCCTTCACCAAGGGATCCAGCAAGCAGCCCACCGAGAACCCCGCCCTCGAGCACGAGTGCCCCGAGGAGACCGCCTGCAACGCCATCGGACTCAAGCAGTGCACCAACAAGTGCCTTGATGTGGTCAGTTTCTTCCTCATTTAGTTTTTTGTATGATACAAAAAGCGAATTTTACACGGAGAAAAAAACCTCATGCGTGGGACCCAAAGTTTAGGTCATATGGATGTCTGAAGTCTTAGCAAGTCTAAAGATTGAGCATCTGAACACTTTAGATCTAGCTGTCGAGGTTTGGATCACACATCTGAAACTTCAGTTCTTACATCTGAAGTACTTCAGATGTGAGAACCGAAGTTTTTCGGATGTGAGAACCGAAGGTTTCGGATGTGAAAACCGAAGTACTTCAGATGTAAGAATTGAAGTTTCAGATGTGTGATCCAAACCTCGACAGCTAGATGTAAAGTGGTCAGATGCTCAATCCGAAAACTTCAGAGGCCCATATGACCTAACCTTCGGGTCCCACGCACGAAGTTTTTTTCTCCGTATATTTAGAGGTTCGGTACTACTTTTGTGCCCAAGCCTCCGTGCTGCTATTCTATTTGAGTTCCAATTCGGTGACTAACGAATCTCAACGTTGGTGCTTGATTTTGGTACCTCCTCGCGAGGTGGTTCTAAAAAAGGTTCGACCTATCGAAAACCAATGATTCTGAATGGATCGAATCTGATAACAACGGTGGAAAATTGATGTTTCGACTGTAAAATTCCACGATTAACACGTCTTTCGCAATTTTCAGGGTGTTATTCCATGTGTCTCATTATCATTATATATAAACATTTCCCTAATAATGGAGCTCTTGCATGTGTCAGAAATTTGCGATCTAATTAGTGATTCATATGTAAAATTTCGCGAGAAACACGATGGTACCACTNTGATAACGGCCTCAACTTTAGGAGCTTTTTTTGAGCTTTAGAGTTGATTCCAGAGAAAACCAATGGCATCATCGTATTTCTCGCGAAATTTTACGCGATTTTGTGTACTTAAATCGCAAGTCCCTCACGCATGTAAAAGCTCCATTGCCGATATTATACTGATTTTTCGGATTCCTAGGCCATTAACTTGTGTTACTTATATCAGTCACTGTTAAGATGACACGTAAAATTGAGAAACAAATTAAATTACTTACTTGCATAAGCACAGTGCATTATCAAGCTGACGCACTTCGACGCTTTTGCAGTAGTGGCGATTCTTTAAAGTTGGCAACACTGTTTTTCCTCCATTTAAATCCATTGAAAATATAGCTTTCCTCACCAAGAATCGATTGTTTAACATACATTTAAATGGAGAAAAAAAGTGTTGCCAACTTTCATGAATCGCGGCTGCGATTTTGGAACAGCCAGCCAATTAGGACTCAGCATGGTAATGCTCGCCTGGCCTGAGAGCGCGCAACAACCTCCTTCTTTAATATAATGTATTTATTTTGTAAAAAACTGAAGTGAAATTCTGCAAACCAATGCTGGCAATAGGCAGCCAAGAAAATTGGTTGCCTATTTAACACTCTTTTCTTTCTGTACCAGCTCGTGAAACACTTGCCGAACAGTCCGACGATAATCTGCGGAGCCATCGACCGCGAGGTCTACAAAGAACGCGCCTACCTTTGGGTGAAACACTGCAACACAACCCATTGGACCAACACAAACCTCTCGGCCGGCAGGGAGTACTGCTGCAAGGACAACGCCCCTTACAAGTGCCCCGTTGTCTAAACACAACTTCTCTCTCCACCATCCTCCTTGTAAATACCAAAGTCTAGTCCTAAGGTTTCGTTAGTTTTTTCGTAGATTTTTTGTATAAAATATAATATATTTTTTTTTACTTCAATTTATTTTTACTGAATACCAATTGTCTTGGTGATGATATATTAATCCGAGTTGTCCACGCAACACATGCACATTAGTTAAATTTTTAAAATTTAGGTTTATACTTAGTTTAATTTAATTTCTCGAGAAAGATTCTTCCTTTCGCAGACTTGGCTTTAGTCTTCTGTGTGAAAGTATCCATTTCCTCTTTTTTTTTTATTTTTTTTTGTATCTCACGATCGCGTGACGACGATTGAGAAACTGCCTGCTCCATTCAATCCTAAGTTTACGAATAACAAGTACCTAGTATTTCCTAATGTCTCTCCGAATAATCTAATCGTAGCTTTTTTAAAGGACCTCTCATATTTTGAGGGTCATAAAAGGCCTAATTCCGTACAGAAGTTGAACCCACCCTGGACTCCTTAAACTCTACCTTTCTGACGATAAAAAACTACAAGTCACGGAGATCATTGGTTTTGGCAAGTCTGGAATCCTTTCAGTGAATAAATCGTTGTTTTTCATGATTCATGCGGGTTTAATCTAGGTTTATGATCGGATTTGATCGTCAATAATCTCAGTTAAATATACATTTGTTGTAAGAAAACAAGTCGATTTACACGAATCCAGGGCGGACCCAACTTCGGCTCCAAGGTTGCGCTAATTTTGGCTCATTACGACATCCCACCCTCTCTTGGCAATTTTTCTTTTTCTTTTTTTTCTTTCTTACAAAATTCGATAAATATCTGCCCATAAAACACAGCTTTGTTGCTATATGATAATAATCATTTAAATTTAAATTGGTTAGGGATTTAATTTTAACTATTATCATTTATATTGCTCACGAAACACATCACAGAATTCGCAAAAATGCATGGTGATGAGCTTCTTGTACACCCTTTTATGGTTTTCGTTTGATTTTATTCTCATGAAATTTCTCGCAATTATTTTTTATTTTTATTTTTTGTTTTTTCATCTTTACTAACGTCTTTATCCTCTGATATTTTCACTACTGAGACGCAGCAGTTAAACAGGGAACCTCGAACATGGCAACAAGCTATAAAGAAAATTTAAAGGTTTCCGTAGCTTGTTACCGGGATAAAGCTGCAGTTTAGTTTTTTTTCGATTTTTATTCAATGTTTCACATCTATTGACGCTAAAAATGGTAAAGCAGATTTACCATGCTCAATTGATTCGTCAATTCGTTAAGTTTTTTTAGTTGTTAACCACGTTATTTGTTAATCGGTTTATAGAAGTTAATTTACAATCCGCTTGATGAGCAAAAAATGCAAACATAATTTGAGTTTAGAATTTAGGTTTAATATTTGTTTTGATAATCATACAGTCAGTTTCATTAGTTAATTTCCTACACCTTTTTTACTGAATAAAACTTATTTTTTATCAAAAAAATTCTTGGCTGAATTTCTATTTAATATGTTCACTAAAGTAATCATAATTTTGACATATTCTCAGTGTACATTAATACCCGACAAGAAGTTTAAAAGTTTCAATGCTAGTTATGCTACATATACACATGTTTCTTGCCTCTGCGCCTTCATTCTAGGAGTAGGCCAGAATACATTCAAAGTGCCGTAATACTTATCTCCTCTATCATTTAAACTGCCAGCCTGGCAATGTCTTTCGCCAGCGTTGAATGGACAGTGTCTTGCAAATTTCTCTTCCCTCACTCATCCCTAATTTGAATAATTTTGGCCCTCCGTTTTCTTATTCCTTACAAACTGATTTTTTTTCTTCTCCCTATTGTTTGAGAAAAGAAGGAACAAATTTAGAGTTAAAAATTACTTAATTTTCCAAAATGAATAAAAATGCATATAAATGCCACATTCAGAGAGTCTAGTTAGACCCGGGACTCTCAGGAGCCAATGTCTTATTTCGAGCGCAATTTCCTCTGAAAATATCGGCTGATAAACGCCGAATTACATCTCTGTCATGTTCAATCTGGCCGTAAAAAACAATACCCATTTCGTAATTTTACTAATTATTGAGCTGGTTTGCAGGTCTGTCCGATAAAATACCTCAGGATAGGGATCAAATAGGATAGTTCCAATTTGCAATTTTCTTAAGTTGTGCCCCCCTTTCACCCTCGAGGGCTCGAAACGCGGGGAGTTTAAGGCTCCCCTTAAGATAATTCCCACGTATACATAGGGGATTCTTGCCCTAACCGCATGTTAATATCCATAACCTTTCTCTCGAAGTATCCATACTCCATTACCAGAAATTGACAAAGGAGGATTTCAAATGCTTGGTTTATGGCATTTTTTCACAAGTTACGACCTGGATTTCTCGATGTATAGTGCGATTTCGCCCTCATAGACAGTGACAGAGACCTCACGCGTAAAAATTACATTCAGAAGTCAACACTCGGATTTGCCTGATGATAAAACCACAACACCCAACTGATGACAAAATATTTGAATGATTGGTTTATCAATCCTATACTAATTTTCAGATGCTCTCTAAGCTGAGTTCTAACACTGAAATTCACGAGTCATAATTTCGATGGTCGGAATGCGGAACCACATATCTCCATTGCGGTCTTTAAAAATTTCCGTACCTATTCTATTTTCTCGACGAGATACAAGCCAAATTTATAGCTTGAACTTAAAACAGAATACTCTGCTAACAGAGCAGAAAAATCGAGGAGGATTTCAAGAAATTACGCTGAGTAGTTTTCCGATG